CAATGATCAATGGTCATGATCAAATGCCCTGAGGGAGCTTTGGACAGGGGACGGCGACGGCATGAGGTGAAGTCCTCGTGCTTAGCTCCCGGCAATGGCACGAACAGTGTCTCGTTCCCAGGGCTCATACCCAGTGTGGCAGACAACGCCGACAGCGACTTGAGACCCAGTAGCGCAGGTAGGCGGGCACCACTTCCGCCCACCACCGGTGCCTCGAAGGCATTGAGACAACACCGTTTTCCATCGATCGAGAGCTTGCAGGCTATCGGAATGGACACTGTCCACTCACATTTCTGTTGGCCTTCACCTACACCCTGCACATACATAGGTTTCATCTTCCATTGTCTTGGTCGATGTCCTTGAGCTAGCGCCATTTTCGCGAAAGCTCTAGCAGTGTTCTCACCGATCAAATTTGTGTATGCTCCAGGGTCTATGATGATGCCGGACCTGTTTGGCAATGAGATCGAGTGATATGCTTCTGCCGGTGCGACATCTTCCCCAGGCCACCACGGGAATGTACCCAAAGGGTCAGGATCTGCTTCTTCTGCTGGCGACATGAACGGTGTGCCAAGATTCTGTGAACCAATGGCGGGCTGAGGAGAATGACCTAGCGGTGTGAAGATGTTGTACGAATCGGGCTGCGGCGTCGACCGATCAGGAGTGACTGGTCTGGATGACACATGGCTGGACTGAGGTCCTCGGCGAGTTGGCTCTGCCAACGGGATTCGATACCTAGCCACTACATGACATCCCCCTCTGCACACTGGACAAACAATGGCCTCTCCTTGGCACATGTATGTCGTCCAGCACTCCACGTGGAACAGGTGTCGGCAAACCAGTCTCAATACCGATTCGTTCGTCTCGAAAGACTCTCTGCATAAAGGGCACATGTCAGACGCTCCATCATATTCAACGTCCTCGGTGTTGATATCCCGGACCTTCGACCTATGCACTTGCTTCTGCTGCCGATACCTTTCAACTTGGCGCTGCACTTGGTGGAATTCATTCAACTGTGGTCGATACTGAGGATCGAGCTGCGAATGCACTTGCACTGCTGGTCGGTTCATGCTAAATGATGGCAAATGCTGATGTCGTCGGTTGGCAATATGTTGCTGCACATAATGGAAATCATCTATCTGTGAGCGCAGCGGACCTTCGATTCTGGACACTTGAGCTTCTCTCAGGGTTGGAGGACTCGGGAGTTCTGGTGGTTGCGACATATTCAAAAATTCAAACTCTGGACGCATGGCAAAGTCAGGAACACTTGGCATGGGTGGTAAGGCTGACACGATCGGCCAGGGCAAGAGTTCACGCAGCTCCTCTGGCATGCGGGCCATGGCAGCCCAGTTCATGCTCGGCGGGTGCGAAGGGTGAGATGGTGGCGGCGGTGTTGGGCTTGTTCCCGCCGGCTGCGATGCAGGTTGGACTCGATGTGGCTCTGTTTGGTTCGATTCCTGACGAGAACTTCGGACTGTTCTAGCAGGACCATACGCACTACTTTCTGACGGACTGCGAGATGCTTGCCTGACAGGTTCGGACGCAGCAACCGATCGACGGAATCCTAGATTACCAAACGGAAACCCAAAGAAACCTCGACTGGCATTTGGTTCTGTTGGCGCTGGCGGACCGAACGATCTTGGCATGGACACGGGCAAGGACCACGACTGGCTCGTGGCAGCACTCCATGGATCCTGCTGCATGAATGGGTCCTCTTCGTCAGCTTGAGCCTCCTGCGTCATGTAGACGTTATGCACCCGCCGACTCTGATCTGCTTCGTCTGTGTTCATGGCAAATGTGACAATCTGTGGACGGCTCAAAGCTTGACTGGACAAGTCGGCCTCATTCGTGATGATTCCGGCCAAAGGACCTTCATCTTCGACCACTGTGGACATGGCATGGTTAGCAAAGAATGTTGTCGGTTGCCTGTTTCCTCCTGATGCATGACGGCGCGGACACGAGCCTGCAAGATGCTCAGTACTTCCACATTCATAGCAACGCATGGTCTGACCGTCAAGGTCTTTGGGGTTTCCTCTGCGGCCCTTTCCTTTGCCTGGCGAACGATGGCCTCGGAAGGCCGGCATGGCTTCTTGCACCTCCATGTCATTCATGTCAGCAAGAAGTGCAGTCACTGGATGTTTACCCTTCTGGCCCTTCCCTTTGCCAACCGTGAATGTGGCACTGGAGTTCTTGCCTTTTCCTTTGAAACCTTTGCCTTTGCCTTTTCGTCGAGTAAACCTCTTAACATACCTACGAACAGTCCTTGTACCTTTCTGCATAAACTTCCGCCACTTGTGTTTGGCGGTGCGATATGCCCAGAAAAGGTCTTGCGCAACACGGCTGGGATCCTGAGAAGCGTCCAGCTCTACAGAACTAGCACTGCCGGAACTGGTGTCTGAATCGGTGACGATGTCTTCATCTTCGAATGCATGGTATGCATCTGACATTTGGGGATGGGCGCTTGCGCGCGTGGCAAATGCATGTTGACCGGATAACCATGGTGACCATGACCCACTCAACTCCTCAGTCTGCCAAGAGGCTGGTTCCCAGCTTTCTTCCTGGGCAAGAAACGCTGTGTGCGCTGAGTGCGATGTGGCGGTTCGGAGGCCTTCTCGAAGGTTCCCGGGCGCTCTTTCAAGGATGTGGCCCATCCTACGTAACGAGGTTTTCAATTGGGTGAACTCTGCTTCGGTGGAAGGGAACAAACCATTAAACGGGGACAACAGTTGGAGAAGCTGTTGGTCCGTGATTCCTACAGCCCGCAGCAATATCCAAGTAACCCCTTGAATGGATACGATTGCACCGCCCTGTTCAGCGGCTCTAGTGCGAACACTGTCAAATCTGACCAAGAGAGAATCTATCGGCTCGTTTCCGTTTCTGGTGAACCCCATCAGCTCAGTGATTGCTTGAACACGAACTTCCTCCCCCAGATTACCGAAATGCTCTTGAAGGGCATGCATCAGGTAGGTGAGGGGGTCTACCGCAACTCCATTCACGACCCCCCCATCCACCACTGCTTGCGGTGGGATCTGACGGGCCAGTTCCTTGGCAGCTCCTTTCAAGACCAACATCACTGACGCAGCCTTACGTGCTGGTTCCATGTCTGAGGCAATCGACCACAACGGAGGAGTTCGCAAGAGATTCCCTTGTCCTGCAAACATGTGGCAAAATATGGCGGATGTCGACACTACGGCCAAAACAAGGACCAGCGCAGAGATCTTTGTAAACCCTACGCTACGCGTGTCATGGGTCTGAGAAGGCATTGAGCCAGAGTCGTCTAACACGTCCTGCGTTTCGATGGCCGTGTCTGCAGCCACGCAAATCACAAGGCTAATGACGAGTCCTGTCACGGTTCCAAACAAGGCCATCTGCAGCACTGTTTGGCCAAGCCTCGACGTAGTGGTCAACCAAGACTTGCGAAAGGCGGTCAGGCCCAGCTGTGTGTCAAGGTGTGCACTGATGTGTGTTCGTGAATGGTCAACCCATAGCTGAGTGAGGGGATGGAAAACTCGATGTAAAAATGCAGGGTACCGCTCAAGGCTACGTGCAACTCCGTAAAGGGAAAATTCCACCTGCATGTCATGTGAACTATGGGTGAGCACCCAACCCATGCTGGTACCCCCACAATCGACGTCACCTAATGTGTCCAGCCAAGGTTCAAGGCTGCGACATGAAAAGGCACCAGCGTCATTGGCCGGACGGGTCCGATCGGTCGTGTTGACCGACAGATCATGCCTTCTGTGTTCGACTGAGGGAGGCCCCATGGCAGCTCCAGCACGCGCGGTGTCATTGGCAAGGTCATTGAACTGTCCTGTCACGCAGTCTCCACGGCACTGGTCTTCTTCCAGCCCTGCAGCACTATGGCGTGCAAACACTGTCGAATGGCCCGGTACAAGACAGGTAGGGCTCTCATGCAAGTGGCTCGCAAGTTCAACGTCGTTCGACGACTGCTCAGGAACCCTTGCAGGAAAGTATGATTCTTCGTACTGATCAATTCGTTGCGGTGTCCAAATTTCCTCACCTTCACAGATGCAAAATTCTTCAACTGCCGAGCTGTTAGCTCTGCAACCATGCTGTTCTGGAGTCATCAGATCAAATGCAGGACCTACGGTCAAAACTGGCCTGCACCTGTCCTGAGACCAAAGCCACTGGCGACCTGAACTGTTGTTGAGTGCACTGCAAACTGTACCATACAGTGCACTGTTCTGTACTCTGAGGTCAATGTACCTGAAAATTGTCCCACCTGAAAACTGCTGCACTGAAGCTCTGCACGATTCGACAAACACTGTCTTGGAACGCCTCAGGCTGTCATAGCCCCGTGTCCGGTGATTCGCAAGTTCAAGGGTTCCAAGAACGTCGAAATCTTTCCAAGCTTCGTGCCATCTCGAGATTGGGCTCAACAATGAACGGGCCCTGGATTGGAACCCGGTCCACTGAAGTCGGCTCTCCCTGACTAGGCGTTTCCAGACTTTTGGATGCCGGATGTGGTCACCTAGAAAGGGAGGTGGAGCATGACAAGCTCCGCTACCAAGTAGCGAAGCAGCGGAACATGCAAGAAGGACAAAGAAGATCACACGCCATGTTTTCACCGATGCGGCCATGAACGTAAAAAAAGGGTCTCGAGACGAAACTGCAGTGGGTCAAGTAGAGGTACCGTTCAAGTCTACTAGTCACTAGAGTTATATAATGTTATATATATAATACTATATGAGTCATATTTAGCTCCACCATCGTCCGCCAACTAGTGCATAGAAATTCCTGCAATCTGTGCAATTCCCTTGAAATCCAGGTAAGTCCCAAGTTGCACTCCAAGTTCATAGACAAACTTGTCGACTCAACATCTATAGTCAATACAGTAGAAATGTGATGACACGACTAGTCTGTTCATCGAACCATTTAAGGTAACACCATGTTTCAACCATCGTCTACCGACCAGACGGTGACTCTATCGACTCTATCGATGAAAACGACACCAGCCGGCTCGGCTCTCTCGGGTGCCCCACGAAGATGGAAACGGCGAAGGCCACCGCTGGGATCGACTGGCGAAGGCCACCGTGCGGGATGGGAGGGGGACCGGATTTGGGGGGAATGCACCGCAAGGGTGTGGACCTCAACGTCATCCGCAAGGATCATGGTGGATGCATCAGTCATGGCCTGAGCCATGCAAACATGTTGAAGCTTTGATCAGAAAATAAACATGTCTCGAGCTGAACATCGCTCCAGTTGCTCGCGAATCACCATGAGTCACCCTGATGCAAGTGCTCGGAGCTCTTCAACTTTGAGGCAACACATGGCAACACCTATCACTTACATAATTCTCAGAAGCTCTGCACACATAGAATCTTGGTCAATGGCCGACATCACATCACCTTGCCTCATGCACGAGTTCGTCCACGCGACGTGACACGGTGACAACGGATCCAGCTGTCGACGCCACACGTGAAGAGTCAACAATGTCCAACTGTCCAACCACATCCAACCACTAACCATGTGAACGAATGCTGAGCGACCCCCTGTTTATACTGCGGGTTGCCCTGAAGGACCCTTAACAATGACCCGTCATGTTGCCAGGCTTGGTTCCCATCCGATGATGGGCAGAGTCGTGAGATCGAGATTGGCATCACTGGCGAAGCTGAGATGAGTACTCAAGAGGCAAAGCAGCTCTCTGTGTCCTGAGGCAACAGGCTCAGTCCCTACGTCGAGGCCTTCCTTCCAAAGGAGGTAAACGAAAAGTAAGTACTCCTCTTCAAGGGATATCTAACAACATCAACAAACATCACAAAAAACTCAAGTGGCTCAAACCTATTGTCAGCTGAAGTCTCCGTCACTCCCACTGAGGATAGGACTGCATGCGAGCCTTTGGGATGCTTGTTATTCCGGTGAAAGCAGTGGCCTCGCGGCACAAACAGTTTGCAGTCGACTACCTGCAGTTGACTCCCTCCATGTTTTCGAGTCATCCTCCGGGCCGTTCAAAATCTTTTGGTGTGGATTCTTCCTTCGGATTTGCTGCTGAAACTCTCCAACTTCCCAACTTCAGCCTTGAACATCAGGTTCACGCACCTGGGCTCCATCAGGTTCAAGCACGGCAGACGAGTTGGGGGGGGCAAAGAAGTAGGCAAATTGGACTCTCCAAGCGGCAATGCGGCAAGGCAGAGGGGCAAAAGCCTGGCGAGTCCGACACCGACTGACCGTCCAGGGTGACGTGACCGTCGACCCATGTGGAGGACCCGGCGAGCCAAGGCCATGGAGGTGGACGAGAAGCGTAAGCGACGGCTCAAGCGGCGCCAGTGCGGTGCCGGAGTTCTCTGACGTGCGACATGAGTGCAGAGGAAGTGCCCCTCGTGCGCCATGTTGGGGCGCTGTGATTTCACAAGACTCTGTTCTCGGAGCATGGCAATTAGGTCTGGCAGGTGAAAGCAAATCATGAAAACTCAACGAACATCATACAAGTATGGCCCCATTGAATGCCTTCCAACACTGCAGCCCAATTGCCCGGCCAGTCAATGCGCGCCTGCTGCGGAGAGCCATTGTTCTTGCGCTGGAAGAGGCGCGGCGTTTCACGTCGTCTGAGCCGAGGACAGCTGCACCGAGCCAAGCGCGGCCACCGGTGCCAAGGAAAGAAGGATTTTGCGGGACACGAAGGACATGTTGCACTTACATGCAGGTACTTACTTTACGAAAACTATGTCGATGTGTCCAGTACTTGGATCTTGTTTGGGTCTTTCCAGAGGTGCCATCCATCGACCCAATCTCCCTTCGCCCTCGCTTCCATGTGGGCGGCCGAACGGTGCGATGCTCCGGTGACTGTTTTCGCCGGCCATCGGCGGCGAGGCTCCAGTGGTGTCCTGCTTTCAACCATCGCGATCCCAGCGATCGGTTTTGGATGCAAGCAGAAAGACCACTGGATGCGATCGGGTGATCCGCTGGAAGGTACTGATCCCAAGAGCGCCACCGGTGAAGATGCAACATGTGACATGTAACAATATGTGACGATGGAACCCCCATGGCACCAGAGTTGGGGGGGGGGGTTAGACTTCGTAAGAAAGGTGGCCCTTGTGGGATCCGACAAATAGATCCTTCCACCAATTTTCAGAAACTCTGAGCTTCTGGAAGGGGCGCGTCTAAATGGCATCCGGGCAAGCCAACATGCGAGTCCTTCGGATGTGTGGGCGGTCTTTTTCTCTTCAAAGGAAGCAAAGAAATACATACTTTTGTGAATCAAAGCAATGTCCATTCTTCTCGTATCCATCGCATCCTTGCATGCCCAGAGTCCACACTGCGCCGACGTTACCAGCATTATATAAATGCCATGTTCAGACCAATTGCACGATTTTTGCGGCCTTGATTGGTGAAACACTAGTGCATTGTACAGGGCCAGTGCACGCCGCATTGCGAAGACTTGCTACAAAAAGGTCGAACAAAAAGAAAAACACTTAAAAATAAGCCATCGAAACATATCGAAACTGTGGTGCAAAATCCCAGCAATTCAGGCGACATGTTGCTGCAGAATGGCTTCAAAGGGTCCTCTTTCTCGACCTTTTACAAGCACTTTCGCCCCAAGGAGTTCGCACGTTCGCTCCGAGTTCGCTCAGGTCAGCTCGGTCTTGGTGGCTCACACGAGTGGGTCTGGGTCTGTGTGGTGGGTCACGAATGCACTCAACACGTAAGGACATCGTTCTTTGAGGTCTTTTAGACCGAGAAAGATCTTGAATTACATGTCGTCAAACTTCGGGTTCACGCTTGCGCAGCGCTTGCGCAGCGCTTGCCGCACGCTTGCGCACCATTCCAAAGACCAACGTCTCTACATCATCCCCTGTTAGATGGGACGAACTTTTTCCACGCTCAGGAATGAGAACAGGGGCAACGAACAGGTCAGCGGTTTGCTGCCAGCCCTGAAACGGTGGGCTTGTTTCCAAAGTCAATCAAATCATTCTAGTCAAACGAAAGGTCTCAGCCAAATGGAGTTTCCCGGGCCGGGCGCGGTGAAACTTTTATCATTTTGGCTACACCAATGCACTGTCCTTCCCACCATTGAGACAACTACCAACTGACAGCCAAAAGATGCCAAAAGTCCAAGAGGCAGGCACAAAAGCTATAGGAAGGATGTTCTATGGATTTTCCGTACAATCACACAAACCAAGCGTTTGGGTCTGACCAATGCACGCGACCTTCGCAAAAACATGCTAAGCTGCTAAACCAAGCTCGTACGTCGACTATTGACCTGCAATCCTCTGGGCGACGAGCCGCTAAGCCGATGCTGTCTGTGCCATGGAAGCCTGAGTTGGGTCTCCCTCAAGAGCACTTCCAACGATTTGGAACATAAGCTGGTGATCGGATTCGCACATCCAAAATCAACAGCTCCACCAATCAACACCGCTCTGCTTCCGTGCGCTCCGTCCGCACGTGGTCAGTCCATGTCGTCTGTGTACGGTCCGCCTTGTTCAGTTCTCTGGCCTGCCGGACGGCATGCGGCAGACCGTCGGTTCGCTCGGATCAAATGACACAGGAAGGTCAAAACCGTTTCTGGGTCGAGCGAAGAAGAACGAAGAAGCAGCGAAGAAGACAAAAGTGGGTTTCACGGATCGGATATGTTCTTCACTGATCTTCTGCAACCTTTCAGATGCTTTAAATTAAAATGGTTTAAGCATCTTTAAGATTCTTTAAGCAATTCTTCAGACCGGTATGAGATCCGCCGGGATCTTAACTACGACTCGACTTGGCGGACGAGGTCGCCTTGTCAGCAAATGATGACTTTGCTTTCTTCTCAGAAGCCCAGCCATTTTGCCTTGGGTGATTCTGCGGACTGAACTCTCTACAGAGGTTTTTGCAAGAAGGAATCACAAGCTAAGATGTGAACTCCCGTCCAGCGTCTGTGACCTCAGAACAAATATAGCAGCACACGTTGTCAATGAAGAAGGCAGACTGGACTTCCGGTCCAGGCCTTCCCCAAAGGCTCGCCCTGGTTCTTGGCACGTCTCTGTAGATTCTGGCAAGGAAGAAAGAGCAAGGCCCCAAACCAGCAAAAGGACTGAATTCAACCAGCAAAGACAACGGTCACCCAACAAGCAGCAGTGCCTGAAGTGGTTGTCTACCTGCACCACCAACTTTCCCACAAACCTGAAGTGACAGCACGATGAGAAGCTTATGGCCTTCACACCATCAAGAGTTCAACAACAAGAGACAACTACAAGAGTATACAACACAGAGGACGCTATGCGAAGCGCGAAGAGAAATGATGCATTCTGACACAGCATTGAGGTGCAAGCCTCTAGCAACCAGCTGAGTCACTGATTCGCAACATGTAGGCTTTTAAACACCCGACTCGCGCATCAGCGAAAATGCCAGTCCCACCCAAAAGTCCTTGACAATGAATGTACTCGTCTTCATGTAAGTGTCTCTCTACTTAAGAGAAGTCAATATGTTGGGAACACCCATTAAGCATAAGGTCTCTTTAGTTGTCGACCCCTTCATCCCAGCGTTCCCGTACACGTTCCGGCTCACCAAACGTTGTTTCGGCTCTCGACGAGGCACGCCATGGCCATTCGATAGGCCGCTCTCTCTGCTTCGCAAGCCCTGAACGTCGACCCGATCGAGGGCGATCCGATTTTTCGAAGAACCGCCACTCTGGCGCCGCGGTGGTCCTCGAGGAAGATGCGATCGACGTTTGCGGGGCTCTTTTCCAACTGCGATCGGAATCAATGATGGGAACTCGACTGTCCAAAGCTGGAGATGGCACGGGGGCGGCCACACCTCTCCGGAGTGGCACCTTCTATTGACAGAACCGACCCTGATCCAGTACTGGTCGCATAGTCTGCGAGACTTTCAAAGGCCAAACAAGATGCACCACTGGAGGTGGACCAGTAACTAATACTTGGTAACGAAACATTTGTTGTCCTGCAGTACAAATTCTCCACCTCCTGGTTCTGCATCCTTTTGCAAAAGCAGTAGTGCTCAATCAACAATCGAGCAAGCTACTAGAAAGATCTAGAAAGCAAGGATGTTGAAGACGCCGCACATGAATCAAAGTTTCAAAAGCGCGGCATCCCACATCCTGAATTAAGTACTACACTGCTACCACTGTAGCAGAAGGGAACAACTGGTGCTCAGGAATAAAGCTTTGCAATGTCTTCCCTCAGGGAGACGTTCCGTGCTGCCCAGGTAACGAGATAGCTTCTAGCCAACATATTTTTATACAGCCTTTTGTTGTCAAACTGGAGCTTCTGCAGTGAACACAGTTGACAAACTCGTGAGGGAGGGTCCAAAGTTTGAACATCAAAGAGGAAAACGGAGTCATGTGATGCCATGTTCATGCTGTGACATGAGTTGAGTCACCATTTCACCTGAATTCCTTGTCTCTATACTCCACAAGAAACGAACAACATATTAAATACGATAATTGAATGTGATAAGGAATGGAATCATTTAAATTAGAATGTACTGTATTTATGGAATCTTGCCACCACGGGCAACAATTCCAACGGAAACAACAACCAAAAAAAAGAAACACACACGCACAAACGCACTCCAAAACCGGTCACCCAAGTCGCTTGTGCTTCTCTGCGATGATGGGCCGCTTCAACTTCATCGCAGCGGTCAGCAGGTCGTTCTCCGGCGTCCAGGGATCGCTGCACAAGGCGATCCTCTGGACGGTCTGGCTCCGGGCCGTTTGGATTTCTGGCCTTTTGGTTGCATTTTAACCAACTCACTGATTACAGTGTACATACCAGGACCCTCCTGTCGGGGTGTCCTGGCTGAACTACCCCACACTACCTATAGGCTTCCAGACAGGGCAATCCTTGGGAGGGTCCTGGTATATAAATATATACTGTATACAGTATACACACAGATATTCCAAGTATGCAACATGTCTGCCTTCTGGTTGGTTTTATGGATGAAAGGACTGAATATTTGCAGAGTTGGAAGACCCAGGTGTTTTTCGGTTGGTGACCGGGCAGTGCAAAAAAAGAGCCGACCGGGTCCAACCACAGAGAGAAAATGATGGGAATTGAATGGAAATGCCTAATCTGTTCTTTCTACGTGCCTCACGACGTGCGAATACTTGTCATGGAATATCTTCATGTCTTCTGTCCAGCGTGGATTTGCAGTTCTTCTAGCACGCGAGTTTGTACAGCGAGAAATGTTGGGCTCCCCAAATCCAAGCATCTTTTGAGGAATTTCGAACTCGACCAACTTCATCTCTTTGCACTTCGCTTTGCAGGCCGCGAAGACCTCGTCCGACCGAGTCGACCGAGAGACGGCGTCGCGACCCTCCCCGCCGGGCCTTGTCGACGATCTTCTCCTTAAAGCCGAAGAGGACGTGCCAAAAGAGTGGAGAGTGAAACGTTTCGAGGTGAAACGAGGGAGGGAGGTTTGGAGAGGGAACAGGGAGGAGGAGTCGGCACGAGGTTTCGTATTTCCAGCGTGTCCCATGAGGTTTCCTCACTTTAAAAGGGTCCAACATGGTCCAACAGACAAAAGTAAAACAAGAAAAACATGTCTGGGACCACACTGTTGATGAAGATTTGGTGCGACATCGATCACAGTATATCACAGTCACATCGCGACTTTTGGGGGGGTCTTGTCGCACAGGTGCAGAAACGCCCGGTCTCATGCCAGGTATCATTCTTGCAAATCGCTGCGAGGTCACCGGAGACCCCCTCGGCTTGGGCCAACTTCTCAATGGCCGACTTCACTGGGCAAATCCTTACAGATCACGGCGCCCTTGAACGTTTCAGAACGCTTTCGTCACTTCGTCGGAATCATGTTGGACTGTTCATTTGGGACTCTCAGCCGGGGGTTCTGCAACAAGCACGAGCGAGTACTTGCAGACCATGCGGCAAAGCAATTGGGAAAGTGCCCCCGGTCTTGCCATAGACCATCCTTACAAAATTCTCTGGAGCTCTGGCCGTGCAAAAATATCGTACTAGCACGTAGAGGTTTGTGACACGTAAAATCTGAATGAGGCTTGCCAGGATGACATTCTCTGCAGAACTCTTCACCTAGCAAACAGGGATGTGCATCAAAATTGGGGGAACCTCATGGAACCTCCAAATTCCGGAAAGTCACGTCTGTCCTGTACTGGAGTCTTTCAAATCTCTTAAAGGGATCTTCCTTTTCTTGAGATACACGATACATCCATGTGGGCGTCGTAAAACTGGTGCGTCACCAAGCGTCGGCATCTCCACATATTCGACCAGCTTCAAGGCCTTGGGCCCGTGGAGTTGGCCGCGGAAACCAATGACAGAGGCATGGTGATGTACAGGACTGTACATACCCATACATCTCCTGTGACTAGTATATATGCATATTTCAGGATCAGGATCAGTCTTGTATTGATGAATGTAGCCACCATGGCCAAACTGGGGTGCAACTCCTACTGCAAATGTATGCAACTTGGTGCAACCCGTGCACAATCCCAAAGAGTATTGTGTATATTGGGGATGTATTTCGAGAAGGTTCCATGCATATGCGGCAGGTTTGCCGCCAACATGTCCCGCATTGCGATGCAAATCTCTATCTCTATTAAACTGCTGATGTAATTATCGGGTGATCGGTCGACGCACATGCAACATCGGCGGTCTCAACCCTAAAGGGGGCCAAAGAGGAGAGGAGCCACCAACAGAAAAGGGAGGGTAAGACCGGGTAAGACGACCCACCAGCAGTTCCCCAGCAGTCCTCTCAGTCATTCGCTACTAAGCCTGTGGATGGGGTCCGATCCGAAGAAGCATCTTCTTCGCCATTGGTCTCCAGGCGACGGCCTCAACCTTGGTCAATGCCACGTACTCGCCATTCGGGCCTTTCCACAAGTCCTGCCGACTGAAACCGTATGGAACTGAGCCTCTGTGGCGAATTCTGGGGAGCCTCTGAAGTCTCCCAAGATGAGACCCACCAAGAATGTGTATCTTCTTGATCCTTTGATGTCCTTTGTTTCAGACACTGTCCCATTCCTTAGACCACTTCGCCAAACACTGTCCAAACACCTCCTGACCTTCACAGCCCCAAACCTCAACCATGAATCAGCATCCCCGCGGCCCCCTTTGGAACATTGAAAGAGCATCTGAGTTTTGAGCATGTTCGTTTTTTCGGGATCATTTTTGCTCAGCTACATGGAAATGAGCCGTACTACACATCTAAACTGTGCTGTTCTCTGGCCCCGAGTAAAGTGAACCTGCTGTAAGGCAACTGTTGATGAACTCTGAACTCTGGTTCTTTTTAAAACATACTTTTGCTAAACCACCAGTTCTGACCTGCTCTGACAGAGGCAAATCCTAGCATGCTGGACTCGATTCTGTGAAGCCATTGCTTCGTCTGACGCGGATTTGTACAGTAATTCTTGGATATCACCAGAAAAGGGAATTTAGTATTAACATTAACCCCGTCAGCCTGAATTTGTTGACCCCCCAGACCGTCCTTCTTCCGATCGATGATGGAGAGGGAGCCATCCTTGTTGATCTGCCCAATGTCACCCGTCCGGAAGAATCGAATGCCATCAATTTCCACCCAATCCTCCTGGCCATTTGCCACCGTCCGGTGACCTTGAAGATCCGGGTCACCCAGAGCTTCGACGGAAGAGTTGGAGATGTAATTCTGAGTGACCAACAGTTCAACATGACTGTTTGGATTGCAGGAAGATATCAAGCGCACAAAGACACATACTGGAACATCTTCCACGAGGTTGCTTTGGGGATCTTTTCAGCCCTTGTCGCATGCTCCTCGTTCTTCTTCTTTAGCTCTTCATTGGGTGCAGTTTCGCTGATGAAGTAGCCCTTGGACACCGAAGTGCCGCCTGGAAAACAGCTGAGATGGGTGTTGGATGGTGGTTTCGCTCACTGGTTCTTAGCATCCTCACACTTCTGAATGAATAGAACACCCACATCTGTTGCCTTAGATCTTAATTTTGCATGCCTCTAGACATTCATTCGTGCATCTCCCGGCCTATGAGAACCTCGCCACGTCTTAAACCAATCTCTGGTTTCTTCTCATCGGCATTGGAGTAACCTCCCTCAGGCCAGTCAGCCAAGCGAAGCACTGTGCAACACGTCGGTACACCAACACTTCCTCAGCGCGAGCTGTCTGACGTGCGGAATGAGTGCAGCTGACGTGCCCTAAGGCCAACAGCTCTCCGTACAGCTGGCTTCTTGCAAGCCCCCAATTATCTGGCTTTACGTGCTAAACACTCTGCAAATATGACATGCAAATGTCTCAGACCATTGCGGGCATTTCTTTCAAGTGAGCTACACTGTCTTTACTCGAGCTATCATGCGCACTTGCCAGACATTCTGGCATACATCAGATTCATCTCACCATTCTCAGATTCATCGTACTCCGTACTTCGGATGAAGTACGACACCCAAAGTACGACACCCACCGCCGTCGGCATACGACACCATCGCCGCCGGTCGGAAGTCTTCCGTCCCAGATACCCGTGGTGTTGTCCGACCACGGTTGGATCACACTCCCGGCGCAGGTCTCGGTGAGTCCGTAGCCCTGACGCACCGGCACGTTGAGCACCTGACAGCGCAGCTTCCACGTTATCGACGCCAGAAGCTTCCGCTGAGGACGCGTGGTGGACGTTTTCTGGTCTTATGTCTTATGTTCATGACAATGTCTGATTCATGGGCGGTTCGTGCAGATTTGTTTTGCACTTGGAGGGCTTGTTCAAGATCCCTCTAAACTTGGCACATCTGATTCTGACGTTATAGACATAGATATTAGCTAGCAAGTTCATGCAAGTTCCAAGTTCTGCCTTCCTGATCTAGTTCTCACCAACAGTATCACGGTCACCAAGCGTCGGTCTGAATGAACTTCTGGATCTCCGGTGACAAGGGTGCAGACCCCGTGACCGCCGCCTTGAGCCGGCCGCCCATCATGTTCTGCACCTGTGGCCAAGACGGAGACGTTGGCGGTCCAACGATTTGTTTGACGAAGGAAGCCCATCTGCATGCAGAAACGAGTGGGAAAAGAAGGAAAACATGTAGAGTTGTACAGAGATGTTCTGAAGAAACTGAAACGAACGTATCGAGAGTTCTACTGTCAAATTGGATGTTTGGTATTTGGTCTGCACTCCAAGCGACAGTGGGTTTGGTGGGGTTACAGGGGCAAACAGCCATTGATTGAAGCACAACAGGAATGCTAGCAACTTCTCAGGGTTTTGGCGGTCTTGGGCCGTTGCCACGTCAAGCACACCCTGCTTAGGCTGTTGGAGTATCTACTGTGGCGTTCCTTCTCCAGGACCATCGAGACCTGCTAACCTCTCGAATCGCAGTAGCCCACGACCTTCTTGAAGACCACGGCGTTGTAGACAATGTTGGCTCCAATTCCTCCACGATTAAAAGATCTCTCTCCAGACCTGCAGTGTTGTGGAGAAAGTGTTTTGATACTGCCAAAAACTACGCCCTAGCGGCTACAACTATGTGAGGTACTACAGGACAGGTTACGCGGCGCACCTACGTTGAAATTTCGTGGAGTCCCAAAGGAGTCAGCGTTTTCATCGGACCAAACGACGGTAACGTCCCGGGTCCGTCCATGCGCGGAGAGCGCAGCTCGCTCCGAACAGGCCAATTTGCCCAGCCCTCGCTCGCGCACAACGAACAGTCTAAGATCGAAACGCCAGGCCCCAGTCGAAGAGGGTTTGGCCCACATAGCCCGCTGACTCGCCTGGCATCGAAAGAGATGAGGACAGAAGCGAAACAGAGAAACACACTGCACCAAAACCCGAAGCCTTTCTTTTGGTGAGAGGTGCAAAAGAATCAACACATTTTAAACATGCGTAATATGTGTGCCTGGATAGTCATAATAAATAGATCCAATTTGGGGGGTCAAACGGCCTTGACATTACTTTTTCAGTCACTATACGGCTTTGATCATACGGCTTGTTATTGTCCCAACAAAATGTCGAAAACATACGGTTTTGCTACGGGCAGGCTTGCAACACTCATTTGGTATGACCATTTTCTCGACCATTGCGGGTTATAATGAATCAATATTTGGAATTATTTGGATATATTTGGACATTATTCCTTTTGAATCCTTTTGAAAGACTTTGAGCAAAGTTGCGCTTGGCGAGGATACCCTTGTAAACCTTGTCCAGCACGGCAGGAGCGAAGACCTGACATCAGGAGCTTGGTGTCATCAAGGAGCCATGCTCCTCACTAATGTCTGTAAGCTTGAGTAGTGTCCTTTCCGACTGGGTTTGTGGAGGGCGCCAAAGGTTCCGGAAAGCCTTTCGTTCAAAATGGAGCATGTGAGTATTCTGTAGCCACTGCGCGCCACGTGGCGCGCATTTGCACCTCCCCCGCCATGTTCGACCAACCAGGTGGCCATGAAGTGAGGCTGCAAAACGATCGCATCACCACTCGACTCTGGTCTCTTCAACTTTACACCGGTGTCCTCAAGGTAAGACGCGAGGAAAGCGACGTGGCCAAAAGACACGGAGGTTGACCAAAAGACTTCGTTCTACCAGCATGTTGGTACATGCTCAACGGTTGTCAAAGCGTGGTCCTTGTCTATCACATGCCTATGATAGATACAGATACAGTATCTTGATGGAATACGATGGAATTGACAATTCTACTATTATTCCACTTAGTAGAGACCGTCCATTCATATTTCAAGACCACCAGAGGGGCCAAAGACCACGATCTCGAAGCGACCTGCGTTGCGGCAGTGAGAAGCGAGGCGTGTGGCGGCGCGAGCGGTCGATCGGTCGGTCCGTCAAGGTGTGCGGACTGCCAAAGCCGAGGCAAATGCCCAAGCCCATCAGAGCGACCTGAAGTCGAGCCGAGCGATTTCGCGAGCAGCCCATGGCGCCATGACGATGACAGACGAAAGCGCGACAGGAGTGGGTGGTGTTGGATGTTTATCGAGGCCTCGAGGCAAAGCAAAATGGAAAAAAGCGAGCTATACATCATGTTACAGACAGTTGACAAGCCTATCACACGCAGAACCGTGCATGCATTGGATCGATATGCATGTGGTGGCTTCACGAAATACTGGCCTCAGCCGCCATCTCCATGATGTGCGCCAGTGGCAAATATGCCAAATAGACTTCCTGCATTTCGTGGAATGTGCTCAAGGTACGAGGTTGGCCAAGCAATAATGGCCTCTCGCTGGTAACTGCATAATGAGTCAAAACACACACTTGGAACTGAAACGTTGATCGATCACAAAATACCAGTTGCTCTTGTTCCTTATTATTTATATAATGTTATTTCTTGCATGATAACACTCATGGACATGGAGGGTACTGGTATCAGTGTCTGCACGGCCAGGTACGCCGGCGTCGCGCGTCGGTGTCCCCGTGAGTGACCATCCCGTCGAAGCACTCTCCAGCGCCAGCAGCAATCGCCGTCAAATTCCCATGGGTCAGCACGACTCCTTGGCGAGCTGAGCTGATTCATCGAGGAAGAAAACCTTGTTCTGTCTCTCCATGTCTTCTCCATGCACAAATCACAGGTGTTCTGGACGCGCCACCAAACATCTCAAAACGCCATCATCATCCAGGCCAAGGATCCTTTCGGAGTGCCTGTGGTCCCAGAGGTGTACATAATCACTGCAGTGTCTTCTGGAGTTGGGCTTTGCAGCCCTTGGCTGGACCTGCAGCAGTGAAAAGTGGTCTCCAACTCATCACCCCATGTCCATCCCATCCCTTTTGGATTGGAATTTGCCCGACCTGCTGGGTTGATCTGGATGCCTTTTTGAGAGAACGGTAGTGGACGGGCCCGAGCAAGCTTTGACCCCCCAAAGGCTGGAGTATGGGCGTCATCAGTCAAACCGAGCAGAGCTAATCATCGATGACTTCGTTCCGACCCGGATGAGCTGAGCTGTCCTCAAACTCCTCATGTTTCCTAGTAGTAACAAGTGCATCGCTTCTAGTAACAAGTGCCTTACTAGTAGTAACAAGAAGCTATTAGTTTAGATTAAATAGAGAAAAAGAGCTGAGCTGTCCTCAAACTCCTAACAGGATCTATGATGCATCACCAAGACACTCCTCCCCCTTCGCAATGCATTCCTCAGGACGGCATGGCCCAGGTGCTCAAAAACCTTTGACACCCTTGACCAAGTTCCCAACACCCACCAAGTAATGACCAAACGTGGGGCTGAATCAACTAGTGGCTCATGTCAATGCTCGTGATCCCGCGGAAAGCGAACGCATACCGGTGGCTTTCCGCACGTATAGTTGGTTCGCCAGGCTTCGTCAAAGGTCTGGACCTGAACCCCAGCATCCTGCAGCTGCTTCACAACAGCCTCCTCCGCTGGAGACCTGAGGCTGGAACACCATGCTGAAGAATTGTTCTCCACAAAACGCCACATGCCAATTCGTTCCCAGAACGCTGTCCACCCCCCCGGTGGCCTTCGCCGTTTTGGGTCGCTCGCCCCGGACCGAGCGACGCGGCACGCCGATTTGGTGCCTCGACCTGTGTGTCTTTCAAGCCTTGTGTGTCGAAAAAATGGCCAATGACGGAGTCTGAACCGGAAGCCTGGAATCATGAGTTCGGATGTTTTTAACAAACAGTGGATTCCATGCAAATTCCAATAGGTTGCCAAAGTCATCCAAAGTCCTTTGTCAACCAAGTGGCAAAGTGATGAGCCGCTTGATGCTCTTGCACCTGGGCTTCTGAGAAAATACAATGCTTGCTGGTGAATCCCCTGACGGGTCCTGTTCGTCCGGATTCACCACACCGACCAGGCTATTGTTCGGTTCCATCTTCAGCTGGCACTGGGTGGGTTGACAAACAAACCAGCTTGATGGGTTGAGGAACCATCCGAGAGGACCGTGGTGGGTTATTGATATTCAAAAGTCGAGACAGGACGTCAACACCATGAGATGCATAAGACTTACAAGACATTGGAACTGCGGTTGCGAATCTCAAATGTGCTGAGATGCTTTGGAAGAACCTTCAGCAGCACTTTCAAGAGCTTGGCGTCAACTACCGCTGTGCTGGCTTGGGTCTCATTGAACCCATGGCTGGCACCATCCTCACCTGAAGAAAGATTAATACACAAATGATTGATGGCAGCATGTTTCTATAGAAACAGTGCTTTCGTACAGCAGATGCCCTTCTTTTTCTCTCTTGAAGAAATCCGCCTAGCGTGGCGTAGATTGTCACCACCTGGCGCGCCGCTTCGCGCCCGATTTCGCCAGGAGAGTGGAGCTTCGATGATTGCTGAAACAACCTGGTGGCTGCCCTTGAAGAGATACAGTACGTATCATCATCATCATCATCATCCCATCCCGGATCCATCGCCCCATCACCCACCACACCCCACCACTCTGCTCTAAGTCTTCAAAATTTGTCTCCGCTCATCTTCATCGGCCTGTCCGTTGAGGTACCAGGTGGCAAAGGCCGCGACCATCCAATTCAATTGAGTCTCCGCAAAGATCACCACTTTGGACTTCGGCTCTACACCTGGGACGGACGCGGCAGCCGCGACCGAAAGGTCCGGGGCATCGAAGGCTGGTCGCTTGGTGGGTTGGTCGAGCCATGTCGAGCCCATCCTTCTTCGATCCTCCACGCCTGTGGCTGCCATTCCCTTGGCCAAGTTCTGGATACGTGCGAAGTACTCCTTGTGTTTCAGCCATTTGTACCTCAACGAAACTCAGTGTGACTCGTTGTCTCATCTGCAACTGAAACTGCTGGAACTGTTCCAAAATGTTCCGTTCGGTTGCAACCGCCACAGCAACTTCCGTTCGGTGTCTTTCACAACCTGCATAACCTGCGCTCCGAGCCCTAGAGCTCTTCTTCGTGGATGAAACGCCAATTGAAGCGTTTTTGCTCCTAGTAGCGATGCCAGGAGCCCCTAGTAGCTTCTTGCTCCTAAAGGTCCTTTTCTTTGCTGAGACACTCATTTTCCAGCTGAATCTTTTCTCGCTTCGCACCACCCTCCTGGCGGTGTCGGCCAATGATGTCCGTGGGGAATAGAGGGGACAATGTGCAAATATTATACTCTTGGTGGTTCACCGGCAGGGATACAGCAATTATATACCCTCTATTCATCACCCTACCAAGTGAAGCTAGCACAGGCTAGGCCATCGAAACGGCTTCCTCGCCGCTTCCAACCGTCCTCGATGAAGTGCACCTTCACCACATCACGCCAGCCAACTGCGTTCTCCTCTGAACGCTTGTCCTGAAGCCGTGATTCCGTGATGTCAAAAAACAACTATATATTCTTGATATTCCACCAGCCAATGAGGATGGATTTGGTGATGCGCGCTCGCTCCTGGATGTTTTGGCTTCAATGGAAGTCCAGGGCGGCCGCTTCTCCGCTTCGCGCAAAACTACTGGAAATGACATGATGGTGGATTGTCAGGAGTATACCTATGCTGAGTGGAGTGATCAGAAGTGACGAGGGCACTCATTCATATCAAGCATTCAAAACTCAAGACAACATACCCAGCATTTAAGGCAAACCATGAATGGGTGCATTGGTGAAACATGGTCAAAGATCGCACCCCACAGCATCCAAAAAAAGCAAGTATCTCCCGCAATTATCCCTCAGTATCGCCTTGATTTTCTCCAACAGCTCCAGTACCGTCTTCGAGCCGCACTTGGGAAAGGATCTGCAGGCATGCGCGGCATGTGTAGATCAATAGCAGGTGAACATAAGCTACAAAAAGAGCGCGACCAAGGAGCGCCCCCTTCAAGAAAGCTTACAACTTCACAAAAAATACAAGGATAAGGTCTTTCCAACACCTCTGAACCGACCCTTGCCCACACCCCTTGGCGGCAACCCTTGCCAACAACGAGCGATCCAACACTTCCACACATCTGGAAGAGAGGCACATCCAACGCACCTCAACGCACGGTTTTGCTCGATGTTCCAGAGGCAACATCCGAAGCCCTCCTTCTCGGTGCTCAGATCCAAATCACCCCACCTCACAGACCGGCTCTCTCGAGCCGTGTGAAGGCGTCGCCAGTCTTGATTCCGAAACACTGTCTCGGGTGGCCATTCTTAGCCTAGGAAGTGAAGCCCATTGTTTATGAACCTGCACCATATCACGCTTGCAAGACAAAAACAAAAATCAAGGCACTGGCAGTTCCAACACTTATAGCTTGAATCACTTGAATGTAATGGATCGACAAGTGTATTGCGATACCAAAACTCTGAGCTGGATATCCAAGACGCTTCTCATGCCTTCGAAATGGATCCATGATGCCCCAAATGGCACGGTTCACTAGCGTTCCTACCAATTGAGCACTCAACTAGCTGCAACATCGAAGTCGTTGGAATCAAGAGTCGAGTGCATGCGCGAGACGTGGTTCGCTGTGCGACACGACAAAATCCACCAGAATTGGGGTTCGCGTCACGCCATGAGGGCATAGCCCAAACTCTAAAAGCAAATCATAAAGAGGATTTGAAAGAACCCATAAGATTGCCAAAGGCCCGTTGTGTTCGGCATACCCAAAGCATCAGATTGCAACACTGACGTCTCCATGCCTGGAAGTTATCTGAACCAATCTGAAGCAGCAGCGGAAGCAATGGTTCATGATGGTTCAGGAGGAGGGGGGTTCATTCCCTTGACACTTGATGACGCGATTTACAATAAGTATACAAGTGCACAATACTTTGTAATCTATTCTCAAACCTTGATGCAGCTTGCCCATGTGAGCGTTGAAGAAGTAACCAAATACTTAAAGTATATAAGTAGATAGATAAATAACTCGACATATATAGTTACATATATATATAGTTATATATACATGTATGTGTGTATACTATATATAATAGTTAGTGTCACTGTTAGTGTCCAGTACTTGATGTCTTTCTTGTCAGCAACTGGGCCCTTTCTTTTGAGGGGCCGGATCGTTCGCTGTGGATCGGTCTCTGTCGCACCCGACGGGCCTTCGGTGTGATAGGTTTCTCATCCAGAGGTGTACGAGATCGGCTTCTGGAGCCTGAAAGTGTCCCAAGTTTGGTGATCCTTTTGGCAAGCTGGGAACCAAAATGGAAGGAAGCGTCTGCCATCATCCTTGTCGCAGTAGAAGTGGCATTGAGCAGGAGACTTAGGGAAACAAATACGAAAAAAAAAAGGGATAAACGGCTCCACAAGGGCAGGATAGATAAACGATGATAAACGGTTCAACTTCTTCTGATTCACAACTGATTTGCTGGTCTTCCGCTGTCTTCCGGCGCTCGGGAGAGCCTATGCTCCGATCCGACTGGCTCTGTGAACGAGGACTTCTGGAGACGACGGCCTTGCTGAGACGACAGCTTCTATGTCATCCGATGTTCAAAGAAAACGAACAGCAAAGGATGACAAAGCCACCCCCAATCTTTATCAAAGGCTTGCACTAGTTCCTCTCCCTTTGTATTCTTATAGTTAAACTCCAACTGTCCTCCATTACCTTGCCCCTGGGGTCGTGTCTTCTTCGGTGTTGATCTTCCAGAAGGCAAAGCCTCGGTGATGTCGACACTGCCACCCGCTCATGTGGATTGGGAGATGTTTTTGGCAACTTACCCGCTGGACTGCTCGTGATCGCAAGAAAGAAAAGAGACTGATCTCTGTTACGAGTAACAACTGTACCACGATGTACATTCTCCAAAACACAGATCCCAAGAAAGATACTGTAAATAAAGAAAGAGAGAGAGAGAGAGAGACAGGAAAAAAAGATCGTCTACAGTCTCCACGCGTGCCTTTTTCGGGTCTTCAGTCTCCACGTTGCGAACAGCACTTGGAGTTCGACTGTGATCGACTCTCCCTCTGGATGGGATCTGCCGCTCATGCCCCGTGACCTGACAAGGACCCGTTCACGTCGTGATCGGCTCATTCGGTGGAGGACAAAAACCGTAATTGGTTCGTTGTTCCTTTTCTGGGAATGCAGGTGTTGTCCTATTCGTGGATTCTATCTATAGTAGAGGTCTTTGGGCTCTAAACGATGTTTTTGATTGCTTTTGGATTTCTGATCTGAGCCTTCCGGAATATACTGGGAGTCTGCAAGTACCTCATCTTGTATGAACAGAATGATGTTGGATCCACAGATTTGTCAAACAGTATAGGGTAGAAAAGGTCTCGCAGAGTTATCTCAGACCCTAGTGACCTAGTGACCCTGTTTGGGGGGGTTGGAACTAGAGAAAGTTGTTTCTTCCAAATGTGATTTTCTTTCTTACCTGTCTTGGAATTTGTTCCTTTCTTACTTCCTGTTCTTTCCCAGCTACAGTCCGCCTGTCGTTCTGGGACTCTGAGCTGATCCCCATCAAACTTCCTTATTACTAAACCATTGCAAAAGTTGCAAAAACACTCATGTTTAAGACGGTAGTCTACGGCTGACCCCTGGAATTGATTTATGTTGTAAATTGTCTGGGTGTTCGTAATAGTAGAAGAGGTGTTCCCTTTCGATTATCACTTCAACAATTGTTGTCCTTTGCAACATCAATTCAACCAAAAGGATTTCCTGTGCATTTCCTTGTGTCCTTCACAGTAAATTCAATAAAAGAACCTCCCTGTTGTTGTTCTTTTCTTCAACATCAATTCAACAAAAGAATTCCTTCTCACACCCACATCAGTCACTAAGAATCCGTTGGGAGATGGTCAGGGCAGTTGATGTTCTTCGGCTCTACTTCGGGCAACAGGGATTTTAGACCTAGTCCATTTGAGTGCGGATTGTAACAGGAAGGGGGCCGAAGTGGGAGGTCTATTTTAATACACACCCATGTTCTGTCCATTCTCCCAGCCAGCTTAGTCTGATTCACAATCATTCGGATGAGACGTGGGTAGCCCGTGGACTGGCCCGTGGGTAGCCACCAGACCTTGGCCTCGTTCCGAACGGTCCGTCTGGACCCGCCCCACGCCCCACGCGCACCTTGTGTGCCCCCTCTTCTCTGGAGGTGCTGCGAGTGGAGATGGCCTCGGGCTTTGAAAAGGGGCAGATCTGGAAAATGCATGGAATAGAAGTTGAATGAGCGTACTTGTCACATGTTGTTTTCATTAGCTTCCTTGATGAATGCCCTTTGCATAGAGAGTCATATCAGAGTAAAAGTTCTAAGCACCTGGCAGACCCACTGCGGTGTGGCTTTTCAGCAACGTCGGAGTGCACATGCCTGCCATAGAGATAGAGATGCAAGCCACTTGAAGGGGCCACCGAGTGTTCTCAACATCCTTGCCTGACTCCCGGTTGGTGCGAGTGAGGAAGGAACTTGCCTTGCTTCCTTGGTGGATCCAGTCTGCATGGCCCAAAAACAAACATCCGAAAACCTTGCTTGAAGGGCTCTTAGCCAGCCAATTAACATCAGCATCGTTCAGCATCTTTGGGGTAATGCGACAATCAATGGAAAACAACACAAACAAAAGAGAAACACCTACTATATTACTATATTGATATAATATATCCTGGAGAAGACCTACTCTACCCACGTTCGGTTCCATGTCCTTTGTCAATCATTCCATCCACTCCAACACGCCCCATGACCGACGACCGCCCAGTCTCCCATGAAGCAGCTCGAGGACTTCCGGCGCCGCCTGGCAGGGGTGATTCTTTCCGAAAGAAGCCTCAATCTGCACACCAAACATGGATTAGGGTCCACTGAAAAACACAACTAAACACACACACACATAAAAAAAAAATCATCATCTCACACCCCACCACCCCAAAGAAATGGAACAAGGATGAGAAAGGATGAGAATGGTGCCCACACTCTGGTCCAAGAGACCACACTTTTAGGGAATATGATCGAAACACCGACCCTGAGACAGATCTTCCGGAGGGTTTTGGAGGTAGGTTCCTGGCACAAAGGTAGGGAGCCACCTGAAAGGTTCTGCTTCTAGAGCTTTTGGGTCGCATGTTCTACTTCCAATGGAAAGCCGTGGAAATGCCATCATCGATTCCAAGCCAAAACAATCAACAGTAACACTGTGGATCGCTAGGAGGCTGCATCTCCTGACTCATTCTCTCGAAAACCTCGTGGTTGACTGCCAAACTCAGAGACAGGCTGTGCTGATGAAAAGCACACGCTCGAGTTTCAAAGAAAACAAGGAAGTACTCGCAAACTTTGCTGTCCATGAGGAATGAAAGCCAGCAGTTGACAACTCCTTCAGCTGCAGCTTGTGAACATCTGTGTCAGTTTCTTGTACTCCCGCCTTATGTGTGTTGATGGCGAAGCGTTTTAAATCTTGCTCCTGGCCCACAACATCCACTCAAGTTCATTGTTTGGGAGAAGGACACTTTGATGATCATTTGATCATCAAGAACAAATCTTCCAAAGGCTCGGTTGATACCTCCAGCACAAACAACCGTAAACAACCCATTTCTCCGACCTGTCTCGCCCGTTTCGCCCGTTTCGCCCTCCCGGTCCCCGAGGGTCGGTCCTTCTGGAGGGTCATGGCCAAGCTAACTCCACGGTGCACCACCGACACGTGTCTCTGGGCTCCGCCTCGACCGCCACTGACTCGAATGATTCACTCGACGCGTTGGCGGAGTGGGGGGTTTGAGGCGGGTTTAAGGGGAGAAGAGGTGAAATGAAACGAAACAAACAAACAAACAAACGATCAATGGCGTCCCATGTCCAGTTCTCTCATCTAAGACTCTGAATTGGTATCAGACCTCAATGAGTGCACAGTGTCTAGTGTTTTCTCCTTGAACGCGATGGACTTTGAAAGGATTCTTCCTCGCACCCTTGCTCGCTCTGGCTCGCTCTTGGCTCTGCATTGAGGTGTGATTCAGGATGATCAAATGGGCTTTAATTGGTTGAGCTGCGTGTTGCGAATTGGAAAGGTACATGAGGATTAGGTGGGGTGAGTTGCGTTGTAGAAATGCAAATGATGCGACGCATTGTTTCAGGAGACAAGGGCATTGCGCGCATCGTGTTGCGCGCATATCAAATAATATATCGTTTGCTTTTGCTGTGCGAATTTCGTCTAACCGGCAAACAATAAACCTTGGGCGAGATCCACTGCGTCATTTGTTGCAGGAATGCACTTGGGCAATGGCAATTTGTTGCACAGGAATGCAAAGCTAGTTAAGGGCATGAACAGTATACAATGAATGAAACTTGCGTTCCACTTGGACTCTCCGGTGTGGTCGGCTTCTTCCTCAAAATATGAAATACTCTTGATTCGTTCAGCGCAATCTGAGGGCACCACGAGCGCCTGATCCATGTTGCAAGGATTGTGTGGACTTCCTGGCCACCTGACGGCACCGGGTTGCACATCACGACGTCGCTGCGTGCCTGCAACTTTTCAAAAACTAGTAACAATACACTACCAAGTTGAATTCCATTGCTAGTAGGTTGGAGGCCATCTCTAGTAACAAGAGGCTACGAACGTAGCTCGGAGATTGTCCCTAGATGTCCCTAGTGGAAGTTGGGATCACACATCATCACATACTAAATGCTCCCTAGGATCTCATGGACCCCAGCGCAACGACGAACTGGGTGGATCTCAGTTTGGCTGGCGGTCATGTTGGTCAACCGAATTTCATCTTTTCTGAATGGCAAAATTGGGCATTCGTCCTAGCATGTCATGTCGGAACAATTGAGATGAATTGAAACAAAACATTTTGCCAAGTGCTCTGGCAATTGGGATGATGCCAGGTCTTGGCCTCCTACCTTTCGCACAAGGAAGCTACGTGGCATCTCCAAAAAACTTACAGACCCGCAAAATAGGCTCACAACATTTCACAAATAAGAAAGAATGTTTGCTCATGATTGCTCCTTCATCTCACACTCCTGGAGTTCTTTCTGGCCCAAACAATCACCACACCGCGAAAACGGACGGCCTCGGGAATCCAATCGCGGCCCTTCCGCGGCGTGGCGCGCGGCGTTTCCGACCTGCAGACCACGGAAGATGAAGGGAGCAGGAACCGAGGAACCGACTGAGGGAGAAGCAACACATGGATCTCATTCAGTTCTTTTGAAACAAAGGCACCCCGTTGTCCGGCATAATTCGATGTAGATAGTCCACAATTGGTTCAGTTCTCTTTCGTTGTTTCCAATATTGCTCTTTGGCATGCAATATACTTTGTGAAACATAAATATACATATGTACAACATAAATCTAAATTGTAAAGGTAAATAAAATTCGATATGTATATAACTCTAAAAATTCAATTTCATAGCAACCACATCTGTTGTAAACATTTTTATAATGCTCAGTTTTTGCGGGAGTGTCTCTGGTCATCGCATTATATAAGTCTTCTTGTCCGATGACAGTAATGGCAACGTGGCTTACAGGCGAGATAATGCTCGGCACGGGCCAATGTCAAGTGTCACTACCTCCAAAGGTTCGGTTGGGCTTTTAGAGTGGCTTTCCATCGTCCACTGACTAGCCTTCCAAGCTGACGGGAAGATGCACACGCTCTATCAATACAACAACCCAAAGATAGACGAGCGCATCTCCCTTCCCAACTTCGAAGGCGATGGCTTTATAGTGGTTATCCACTCCACCACTGTTACTTAAACCGAGTTGGTCGATGTACATGGTCCGTCAACCCAAGTCCCCACAGGATGACGACCACATCTTCCTTCCCAATTTCAAGAGACCTCCTGTTCGATGTGTTTTTTTTCAGCAGTGTTCCAACGTCCACCTTGTTGTAGATTGTTTTTATAGTGGCGTTCCATCGTCCACTGTTCATTGAAACCGAGGGGTCAACCCAAGTCCCCAAGAACCTTCAGCCAAAACACGGCATGCACTTTATGACTGTATCACTTCCGTGGTCGTTCCTGTGCATCACCCCAAAAACTCCTCACGCCCTCCACAGTCAATCACTTCCGTCACGGATCCTCAGACTGGGCCTCTTCTCGTAATGTCATGTAATGTCTGTCTTGTCAAATATGGGCCACTTCACCGCACCCAGGACTTTCCAACTGATCTTCGATCACCCAGACTCCGACCGGACTCCTTCGACGCTTGGCCGAAGCACCGGCCTTGCTCTCTGCTCCTGTGGGCTGGGCATCTCACGCGAGAGATTGTGATCCACCTGGAAGATGAACGGAACGACCACGACTGGATGGACAACCCGGTCCAAGGCTTGAATTGAACATGCTAGGCGGTTGACATCTCCAAAAACGCCAAGATCTGAACCCGGGAGCAAGGATGCTACCAGGGACTCCTGGCCTTACTACTAGGAGCAAGGACGCTACTAGGGGCTCCTGGCATCGCTACTAGGAGCAAGGACGCTACTAGGGGCAACCCCTTCGCCAAGAGGATCTGAAATCCCCCCTTCCCATCCATTCCCCACGCGGGCCGGATGATCTGACCATCCCTGCCCAACGTGTGCGCCTTGTTGGGAACCAGAACGCTCAAAAGCGCTCGGGACCTGAAGCCAAGCGTCTGAATGGAGCACAACAGGTGGAAGTGCCAAAGAAAAAAGGAACCAAATGTATCAAGGAGTCTAAGGAGTCTAAGCAAGTCATATAACTACAGTCTATAACTGCAGTCTCAGGAGACATAAATGCCGTCGATGTAGCGTCATCTTTACTGTTTGGACCATGGAATTGCGTACAACTTTCCACTGGAATTGCAAGTTGTCATCCGTTTCTTTCACACCATCCGAATCGAGCCAGTCGAATTGTCACTTCTCAAGAGAGTCATCTGCGCCTTTGAATCGATCCATGCACGACACCTGCGTCTCATCTTTCCAGTATTAGAAGTAGGGAGACCTCCCCGTTAGACCCCTACCAGAAGAAGAAGGGAAACAAACCAAAACCCATTGTTTGAGGGTCTCCCCATTCTCAATACACACCCGTGTCCTCCCATATCCAAGCTCTCTCAAGCTCTAGGGCTGCAACCACTGGTGCAGGCTTTCGTTCCCTCCGACATGAATGCCAATCTTCTTGCCCTCAGCCCATGTCGACTCCGACGCTCAAGTTCAGCCGCTCTCGGCGCTGAGCCCTGTGGAATCAGCTCGGTCACCGTCCCTTCAGGTCGACAGCGACATCGATGCGGTCGACCGACCCTGGGGTTCTGACTCCGAGATTCAGAATCAAGCCTGGCATGCTGCTGATTCGGCAATCAAGCTGTTCATGCTTGGAGATGTTGGTTTTCACGAGAAGCAGCGTGAAGAGCAAAAGCTGCCGACCTCCACTGACTGTTTCCACGCCACGAATGCTTGACATCAAAATCCTGCTGTCCTCGCAAGAGATGGTGCTATGATGTGCTACAGTATAGAAGATGGCATTGCAGTGTTGCTGGATCAATTCCTAGCAGCACACAGTCCTCCTTGAAGCCCAAGCTGGCCTGTAGAGCAAAGAGCATATTCTGTGGATGTCTGTAGAGCATATGACTAACGTATTGCGTGTCTGCTGCGCACAAATTTGCAAGCACTCACTTTCCCTCTTTCAAAATGGAGCCTTAGTAGCGCTGCCCCAGCTGTCAAGACGGTCCTTCGCTGAAGCGCAAAGTCTGGCCACGGGTATTTACTATGTTTCCTCCAAACAAGCGCCACCAAGCTAACAGAACCAGCTTCAGGGCCCAGTTCGGTCAGTCGCCTGCTCGTCTGTCCTTGAAGAGAATGGTCAAACGCACCACCAATCTTTGCTGATGCTGAAAGCCCAGCAAGCCCCAATGCACCACCTTCTCCTGGCAAAAACAAAACAAGCAAATCGGTACGAGATGGTACGAGTACCCCCTGAGTCGTCCGCTGGCAAGGTCTGCACCCAGTGCTGGAATTGCTCATCGTTGACCTTGACAAAGATGCCAAAGAGGTCTCTTCTAGCAGCCTATAGCTTTTAATAGAACGTGTGTCTGGAAATACAGCACGCATATCCCAACTCCGTTGCGTCAGTTCCATCATTGGGAGACGAACCCATTGTCTTCACTTCACCCGCCTCTGAAGCAACCTGAGAGTGGTCGAACTTGCCCCTCTCAACAGCATGGCTCCCGTCCTCCACAACGGAAAGTGGCAGCAAGCTTACAGCAATTTACTTAGCTGCAACGTCACTGGGCTGAACGTCAAATCCATCAAGCTTTCCACTGTTCAACACCCGATTTGCAATAGGTTTGCTCTCCTTCAAGAAGGGGCTGCGTCTGTTAATGAACTGTCGTGCGTCACCATCAACGTTGCTTGGTGTCTCGGCAGAGCCATGTGATGGGGGCAGGAAGAAGCATTTGAGCGAAAGAGTCCAACACCAACGCGACATTGCAAGGATCCTCAAAAAGATGATGCAAACGTTTTGCAAGAAGACAGTGGCCCAATGGTGGATCTGCTGATCTGCTGGCTACTTACACCGCACAAATTCCTTATGCAACGCCACTGGTTGAATGGAGCAGGAGTCTGTACAGTACAACCCTTGCTGCAGTGACAGCTGTGTGAATCTGAGCTGTCTGAGTTGCTGCTGAGCTCACGACTTGGCTAGCTTCATTCCTGGATGCTTGAGGGTCCGGTGAAAGGACAGCAGGGATTCCAAACAAATGGGTCCGAGGTGGTGATTTTTCATACGTACATGATAAGTCCGGTTTCTTTAGTCTTGACCCATCGTTACACCATACTTCATGTGTGATCATTCTGCCAACCAATGGCCGTTGGCCGCCCTCTTGTCTTGGCGAGAGGGGGGATGTCCGGTCTATATAAGTTCTTGCTAAGCTACGGCTAAGCCTATCGTCGACATGAGTGGGTGAAATGTCCCGTGTAGCCGCGAAGAAGAGCGCTTCATCCAGTTGAACTCTCGAAGATGAACATGAATCGAATCATGAATCACATATCTTTCACAAGCAGCTGCGCTTCTATATACACAGAGTACCAGTGCGCACCCAGGATGGAAGAGCAGCTGGAAGGTGGCCACCCAAATCTCCATATCCTGCAAGTCGCTTGAGAAAGTGAGAAAAACAAAGTCTGTGCTGTTGCATCACCATCTGTGCTTTTGCCACGTCGCTTTCCAAAGCTGCTGAGTTTGGATGTGTTTCATGTCGCCCGTGCGGCGGCCCTCCACGTCGTTCACTGGGAGTCGTCCGACCGTCTCGTCCCACCGGTGTCGTCACGGAGCTTCGCTCCGTGCCGACCCCGTTCGCTCCGCTCGCTCCGCTTGCTCCGCTCGCTCCGCTCCTCGCCCTCTGGAACTCGAAGCTCCAAGTCTGGGAGCCGGAGCGGGAGCGATGCGCGCAGCTCGCGATGCGACGGCGCGGAGCTTCAAGGGACGAGTGCCCATGCCACGTGCCCCAAACAGCATGAAAACAACCAAAAACAGCATGACATGCTGTCCCCTCAAAGGTAAAAGGTGAAACATGTAGGCGGGCTTAAACATCTTAAAAAGGAACCACCTTGTTCAACAGGCGAGGAAGGCGGATCGAGAAGTGGATAGTGACTTCTTATGAGCTGTTGACCTGTGATTGGTGGCCGCAGCAGTCACAATCAAGTCTCACAGCCTGACCATACTGAGTCTCATGCTGCCACTGCGAAGCTCAAAGATGAAAGCTTTGTCCACGACCTGTATTCTAGGCGACAATTGTGCTGCTCTTGAAAAGTGTTTCACGCTGACAACAAACCATGCATGGGCTAAATTGCAGTTCTAGTATGTTTGAAGAAGATTGGATTGGACTTAGAAAGGAGGATTGTATTTGGATACAGTTTATGAATTTATACACAGTTCACCCCGAGCTTGGCTCGCGCACCCGAACGGCTTTTACGTCCATGGCCATCACAACAACACCTGCCAACTCAAAGTGCAAATGGACCAAGCAGGTAAGCATTTACATTGCACAGGCAAACAGTCAGGACCGTTTGCGTGCACACACGCTAACTTGAAGGGGAGGGAACCCAGAAAAACTCCAGAATCACTGCCGCGGCAAGATCAATGAATGGTCTTCAGTTTTTGAGTGAGCACACTGAGCACACCACAAGTCTTCAACGTCCACCCCTCGTGTAATGACATAGAGCAAATATATGACATGAGCAAATACGGGTCTCAAAGAACTCAGTTCGCTTGTCAGTTCGCACCTCCTTCTTCCTCTCGAAATGCACTTGCAGCATCAGGGAAGCGCTCAAAGCGATCGACGTAGACCAGAAAGTACCGAGTCTGGCGGTTTTGCTGTTCGAAACATTCGAGTTCGGCCCTTTATCTCTTTCGCCATCCGTCCCGTCGTCCCAAATAAAGAACGGCGAGACGATAAAGATGATAAAGCAAAGCATGCAGAAGAAAACATTAATGCGGGGACAACGGTATTGGGAGGACGTGTTTCATGGGAATCAGATGCTGAAAGACACAAAAACAAAGGATCGTTCGCTCCCGCCACCGAGACGGCTTTCGAGGCCTCTTCCGAGCCATCTGCGGTGACCTAGGTGTGTCGGTGACCACCGTTTAACCGTTCAGAACGAACGAACGTCCTCTGAACCGCGGTCTCAATCACACGACCACGCCGAAGGGCATCGGTGGCTCAAAGGCTTGAGTTCCAAATCGGTGTTTTTTGAGGTGGCCAAATTGCTAGCATGACTTCTGCGCTGTCTTCCTCAGGAAATCTAATGAACTCATTCATGTTGCAAAATAGTCATGATTATTCCATGGTTATTCCATGCTTCCATTCTTTGAGGTTTGCCCCACCATTTGGTTCGATTAACAAAGCTGGCTGGAAACGAACAGAATCTGTTTAACGCCGCAGCTGCACACGGTCTCTGAGACAGGTACAACTTTGAGAGGTCCATGATGCATGGGCTTGTCGATGCCTTTCAGGACGGCAATTCCGATGTCCCGCGGACCGTTACTGTCCCGTCTGCGGCTGCCGCAGAAGGGCTTCCAACAGAACTGGAATCAACCCCTTTGACCAGAGACCGGTCTCTTTGACCATCTGCGGTTTCAGAGATCTGGTCGAGAGAACTCCTGGCTTCGACGAAACCGACCGAAAGCGACCAGGCCTCTCTTGGGCAACCGCACCGGCGTATCTGGGCCGCACACGGATGGGAGCCCACAGTGAGAAACCGGTGTCCGCCGGTGTCGAAACAAGCTTGTGGTCCAAACAACGGCACGGTGTTTTTAGTGCAAAAGGTGCAGTGCAGTGAGGTTTCTTCTACCCCCGAGTAAGTCGGGTGAAAGTGGTTCATCTACCTGATCCGAGTTCGACCTGATCCAGTTCAACCATAAAAACGGGTGTTGCTTCCCAGGAGCGGTTCGTTGTCTCTCAAAAAAACTTCATGAAATGCCCAATGTGGGCACCTGTTGGAGATCGCATGTTTTTCCAAAGGACCTCAGCAAGACAATGCCAGAACCACGAGGGCTTCGTTGTGATTCACAATAATGTAGACTCTCGATTCTCGATTCATAACCCAAGTTGAATTGGAAATCCTGCTCTAGACCGTCTACTCTTTTGTTAAATGGCTGTGGCAGGATGAAGACCCCCGCCCTGGGGCCAGCGCCGTCTTGCCCCTTCCTTCCTTTGAAAAGGTGGGAGCCAAGACCTTGGTTCCGTACGCACCAGGCGAGAGGCACAGAACCGAGAGCTGGGCAGCGAGTCGAGAGCTGCTCACTGCTCATCTTCAATCCGTTCACTAAGGAGGTCTTCACTGCTCAACTCCAAGGAAGACAACTCTGAAGGGAGCTACAGAGGCACAGACCTCTGCCAAGCAGGACCTCGGCTGCGTAGGTCAGCTCCACAGGCAGGTTTCGGTCCCGGTGTTATCATGTCGTGTTGTGTTAGGCTCACCTAAGCACGAAGGTGGATACCAAGCTGGATATGAGAATCAAGAACGATCTGTGCTATTTGTCCTGCCTATTGGAAAGCTGATGAAAACTTGCACAAATGCAACAGAGCTCACTTTCTCGACATAGCAGTGCCTCTGGTACATCTGTGCAGTACACAGGCTGGCGGGATGCAGCTGCGATGCTTCTTGTTTACAACAAAAGATCTGCTTCCATTGTCAAGAATGGAAGAACCACAGCCAAATATGCCATCAGGTGTTCTACAATCTCTAATGAATATGGTTAGATCATGGTAAACCAATAGAAGGAAGCCATTAATTTACGACGATGAAACATGGTAAAACTCGCCACCCACCAAGAAAGCAATGTGCCATTCCTTGATCTACCGATGCTTCTCTGTACATTCGCATCATGCTTCGCTGAATGATTTGCATCATTCCATCGAGTCCAAGCCTTTCAGGGTTGAACTGGCTTCTACATGGTGTGCCAGGAGTCCAGCCAAGCAAATGATGTAACAGGTAACACGATAATGCTTGCGCAGTATGGGGCAACAAATGGCAACCAATTTGCGCAATGTGTGGCAGTCTTCCAAACAATGATAGCTGCATAGCTCTCCCAACAGATTCTTGTTACAAGGACAGTCAGCTACAGACTCCTGTCGCCGGAGGTGAAACACTTCCCTCTCTGGACGGCCGCCCAGCGCGGCCGGCCGTCAGGCGGCCTTACCCCACATGACGTTGTGCACAAAAAAATGCGTAGACTGAACATTGTGTAGACTGATCCGTTCTTTTCGCTATTAAAATCTATGTTTCGTTATTAAAATCTGTGTTTCCTTATTAAAGAGTACCCTGGTCACAAATGGATGCTACACATCAAAGTTAGGTCGCTAAGCTGCAACATTTGCCGCTAGAATGCGCTAGAGTTTTTGTTGAGTCCAACCCAAGCTCCTGACTAGTCAAAGATCTCACCCAACCTCAATTCAGTCAGAAGTGTCAATCCAAATTAAATGACCGACAAATATAGAATGTACTGTATACAATGCTTTGGCAAGACTTCAGACAAGTGGCACCAGTCCACCCAACAAACCAGCTCCTCCTGCTGCAAGCATTGCTCCAGTGCCGCCTCCCATGCCGCCCATGCCACCACCAGTGCACCCGCTGGGCCCTGGGCCGTAGGCCGGGCCAGGGCCGTAGGCCGGGCCTGGACCATAGGCCGGGCCTGGACCATAGGCCGGGCCAGGGCCGTAGGCCGGGCCTGGCCCATAGGCGGGACCAGGAGGAGGACCATGAATATGAGAGCCAGGACCATAAAGAGGAGCAGCACCTGACAGGCGATGCGGAGATTGGAATTGGCATGGGTCTTAAGATCTGAAAGTGTTGCCGGAAGACCTCGAGCAGTTCTCTTGGTTGGGAAGTCCAACTTTGGTAAAAGGTTGAGTGAAGTTGTTTAAATAAAAAACATAATAGAAATGTTCACTTAGTCTATCTATGTTGATTCATCTATATTCCGCTTGTTTTTGTTTGCCAGTTGGTGGGGCAGTTGGTTTTGACCCACAGACACTCATGCCATCCGTTTTTAGTCTCCACCGAGCAACCTGGGCCGTCATGATATGCCATAGGAGCTGCGGCTGGAGCATGATAATGGCAACCAGGAGCTGGGCCTCCAGAGTGAAAGGCTGCTGGTTCGGGCTTCTGGTATCGTTCGATTGAATGAAGTTGGATCATGTCAAACATGTGCATTGGTCGATGTTTTTGTGGATACGACATGATACGATCAGGTGACCAGTGTCTGTACAAAAGACTATCTACTCATATGATTGTATATATGATCTCACCTGACGTGTTCACAGAAACCGCACGTTGTTAGAGGGTGATTTGGATGTATTCTGCATGTGTGTTTCCACCAGCTCTAACAACTCGATGCTGTTATTCTGAGTGAGATGCCAACCCTCTTCATCCAATCACTGGCCACTATCAAGCCAAGCAGCCAGGCCCAGACACCTGAGCTGAGCTGAGACATAACATGACATAACTAGTCTTCCCCCTGACGCAGCCTTTAACCTGAAAAAACACCTGGTCATACCTAGTCTTCAAGCTTCTCACGTGCAGCATAACCATCACCCAAAGCATCCCATCCCACATACACTATCACTATATATACAAGGGACAGGTTGTAAATCTCACTTGCGTTGCTCAAAACCTATCGAGAATTTGTTCAATGGGCTCTTCATTCACAAGTTCCTTTCCCAGCACTTTCGTGGCTTGTGGTTGGGCTTCAACGCTGCATTCTGTGCAATTACACTTTCGCAAGCTTTCGAGGACGGAACTGATTTCACAAGTGTTTGCAAGCTTTCCCGAGCTTTCGCAATCTTTCGCGCATGAAGAGTTCGCGCACTCTTTTGCGGATCTTTCGTCACTGCATGTTTAGTTTGCGCGAAGGCATAATACATCACGATACATTAACCTCTCTTCAAATTGTTACTTGGGAAGTCTTGACCGCTGCTCACTTAGCCCCGTTTCCTCCATGATGGTGTTTCCGCTTTTTTTTGTAAGCAACAGTCCACATCAGACTCCGGACGCGCGGAATGCAGACTCTTCTGGATCGTTCACCAAATTCACTGGGTGTCCAACAGGTGCTGTTGGTTTCATGCCCGGAGTGAAGCCCACCACGGCGCCTTCCACCACAGGAGGCCTGAGGGTTTACAAGGGGCATTCCTGTTGCTTAACTCACCAGTGGGCTCCGACAGAGAATATTGGGATGAACACTTCCTGAGAATGTAGAACCAATTATTATATACTTTATAATATATATTATATATACTAGTTTATTCTATACTGATACTGATTCTTTTGCCACAACTTGGGTTTCAAGAGAAGGTGGACGCATCTTTGTGGCTGGTGTGACCGTGCTGGCCTGGCGCCGCCAATCCCATGCAGCGCTTGATCAGCCGAGGGCTTGGGATAGTCAGCCTTCGGTGGCTTCGGCTTGCCTTGGAAGACGAATTTCTGGCGGACACAAAGACCACTGGGGATGACGCACCGGCCTTTATTCGAAGTTTTGGGATTGTTGCCAGTTGTTTTAAATGGTTGCAAGATGTACAAGTGAAGTGAATGAACTGGAAACCGTCATCTTTCCTCCTCTTTCCTCACCTAGGCCACCATCTTGCAACTGCGGAGCTGTCTTCATCTCTCACAATTCGGATTGGCCGCTCTTTACCTCCCAAGGTCCCAACAAAAACACGTCCGACATGCATGCTGCATAACACAAAGCTGATGCTGAAGGGAGACGGTGAACAAAGCAACACCTTTCTGGCTGTAGACTGTTCCTTTGAAGTCCGGTTTTGAAGGGTTCTGTTCATGAAACTCGGGCAAACTTATACCAGGCCAGGCCTGACTCTCTTCATGTGTCGTGTTTTTCTTCATTCCTGCCTGTCTTGATATTCCTTTGAACCATCCGCTCAAAGTCCACAAAGTAGTCCTTCAGTCAAGGCAGTGTCAAGGCAGGAGGCCTGGAGGCCTCACTGTTGTTCCAAGCGGACCATGTGAGAAGTCCCTTTTGCTTTGTTCAAATTGACCGCGACGTCAGAATATCTGGTGCTTCGGGTGATTTTCTCATCAAATCCATGGACCACCAACATGTGAGGTCGTGCACAGAAGGGGAAGAGCACCACAAGGCGGTTTTTCTTTCTGGACATGCTCACCCGAACACACATCGCTGACCGCGCTGACCGCCCCCCTCCGCGTCCCTTCGCTTTCGCCGTTTCGTGGTTTTGGCCTGTTTCGACGTCCGTCGGCACGCGTCACGACGGTCGGAGTGGTCGCACCTGCCCTCGCGACCGGAACTCGGCGCTCTTTTTGTCGCTCATGAAGGCCTCGATGAGTCGGAGATGGAATCGCGAGCCCTGACTGAGTCGAGGTCCATAGCTTGCCCGCATGACCATAGCTTGGCCACTATAGCTTGGCCTTTCGTGACTCATCGCGGAAGATTTGAGAGATTCAGAGTGCAAGTTCAAAGAGGTCAATGTCAAGTCCCTAAGAAATCGAGTCGGGCAGAGAATTCTACATTACATGGCAGTGATTGCCATGTTTAGTGGCCATTTATAGCCTTTAGCGTGTTCCACTTTAAAAACCATCCAACAAAAAACCAATAGCCTACCTTGATGTGAATCAAGCCAATCTCACCATGGCCTGATCTTATTTGATCAAGCTTGGATGGTTTTTCCTTTGAACCAAAACGGCACCTGTGCACCTGTACCCGCTGCCCATCCTCTCCTCGCAGCTGCCCATCCAGTCGTTTCGATGTGATCTGCATCGCGCCTTGAGTAGGATCTCATCTTCCCCTCAGTTCTGCGAGAGGCAAACCGAGCGCAAACCGAGCTGACGTCCAACGTCCACACAGGGACCGGTCCAACAAAAACAGGTGCCGGCGGTGCCCGGTGCCACGAGTGTGGGGAACCGGGGGTCCCATGGGGTCCCTGGTTTCTGGGTCACTCAGAGTGAATTCTTGGAATGACGAGAGCACCTCTGCCTCGACTCTGTCGCTTTATGTAACTGCCTGGACACGCTAAGTGAGCGATCGATCGAGCTGAAGAGCTGAGTACTGAACGATCGACAAAGTCTTCCCACTTGTCTCCCAGCTTCAACCTTGAAGAGCTTCGTGCGGAAAAATAAGAGCTTCGTATTTTGACACCCAGTTCGACATCATCAGCTAAAGATAGCGGAAGGGACGGTTATAGAATGTTATAGATGATGAATGATGAAGGAAGCATAGGAACTCATGTCATGAGTGGATCGAGACGAACCAGTAAATGACATGTAATTACAGATAATTGCAGTGTCACTCAGCTCATCACTGAGCTCATCACTGAAACTTGGGCATGGTCACCAGTGGCTGAGGCAACACTTCTGGTCACCGATCGGTCAACTCGTCGAGTCGTCTTGAGCCGAAGGAAAGTCATTGATCGTCGGGTGTCACGACGGGTAAGCAGCATGACATTGGTTGTACTCATTGTAATTAATCCCCCACTAAGAATCATCCAGACTGGGGATTTGAGGGGGTCCAAGCTCAGGTGATATCATTTGCTTGTATGATATGATAATATATGATATGTGCTTGACATGTCCTGGCTTGAATGTTCCACATCCAACTACACCGGTGTTGGGCTCCCGATTCGCTGACATGCGTTCGCTTCCAAGGCACTGCCAGGTCTCGAAGGCTTGGACGACTTTGACCTTCAAAGGGCCTGAACTGTTGGCATCCTGGGCGCACGAAAGGAAAGCTCGCCCGAACGCCGTTCAGCGTTCCAGCGAACTCTTCGCACGAACGGCGCGTATGCGAGCGTTCTTCTCTTCAGCGATGGATGTTGTTCGTCTCAAAAGGGAAATGTGGGCGTTGGTGCTTTTTGTGTTTGGGGAGTGTGGAGTTTCGGTAGAACCTGGAGCAAATGGATGGGACGAAACCAAAAAGAAGCAAAAGATTCGAGATCAAAGAAAACGGCCCCGTGAGCGTTGTAGTAGCACCATCTGCTAGTGAGAGTTTGAAAAAACGACACAAACTCGCCTGGATTTCGAAGGTGCTGTTCGTGCTTGTCACCTGGACATCTATCAAATTCATTCAAATTCCAGGTCCTCAATCCACAACCCTTCAACATGGCATGATCCGCAAATACCAAACATTACAAATGTCTTCAGCATCAATTTGATTGTTGACACCTTCAGTTGCCTTCAGTCCTTGTAAACCATCCATACATTGGAACCTTTCCTATAATGTCGCTCCGTTGCTCCAGAACGCTGCTCAGACATCGGATTCTCCGCCGGCCTTGACCGTCTGCATTTCTCGAACTTGTACGCTCTTCGTGGGATCCTTGGAATGTTCGCAGGATTCCTTGAGCCACCCCATGTTCGCAGACATTCTCTCATGCAGCAGTACTTGGGGGACCAAATGATGGCGTTCTTCGATGTTTGAGTGTGCGCCCCTCCTTCCCAATAGTATCAAAATGTGGGTTTTCCTCCAAATTCGATTACTGCATGTCCCCTGAGTCGAAATTTCTTTCTGCAACACTCGGAGAAAAGCTTGGGCCCTGGCAGCGTATACAATGTCCTGAAACGGCCATGGCTCAGTCACTGGGGTCTCTTCAGTCTTGAGAAGTTGATTGGACTTCTCTAAGTTGGTGGGTAAAGAAGACCTGTTCGCATCCGTTTCGCAGTTGATCGCCATTTTGATTCGCCGATTTTTCATCGGCCAATTTTGCAAAGCCAAATCCTAACGAGTCGAAACAACACCTGAGGAGTCGATATGTACCACTCAAAACCATCTGCATGACATGTGTGCAGTTATGCTGATGCTTTTATGAAGATTCATCAGGATGAAGCAAAGCTGCAGGGCATGTTTGATGATTATCATTATTACTATTATTATGATTATTAATATGATTATGATGATGATGAGTCATAATTTTGGGGATCTCACAAACCGCAACCTCAGGGTTTCTGGGTCCATGGAGTTGCGGGTGCTTCCTTTGTTGTGGCGGCCTCGGGGTTTTCGAAGAACGCCAGCCGGTCTGGGTAGAGCACTCCATGCCTGCACAGAAGGTAGTTTCAAGTTTCACCAAAAAATGGAGTTTCTCAGCATCTTTCAACTTTAGACCCACCCCCAGCCCCAGTGCTTGACTTGCCAACTGAAAGACCAAGTTTCAATTGGCTGTGTATGGCAGCGCCTTGCCTTCGATCTTCAGTCCCGTTCTTGGACGAAGACCCATGACCCGGGACGCGTGACGCGCGTCCAACGTCCCGGCCTTTTCTGACCGTTGACCTCGACCTTGGTTCGAACGACGTGCGAAGCGTTCTGACTGTGGAGACCCGATCTGGCTGAGAAGTGTTTTGCAAAAGGAAGCCTCGAAATCCAAAAAGTGGGTGGGCAAAAGTTGACGTTGACGTGCATCTTATTTTTCCTTCACGACCTTTCAATGGCATGTGGTTGAAAGAGAAAAGAAACAAAACATGTGTCACATCTCTTTCAGCAGTGAAATACTCTACTAAGCCCGGCACTGCACCGGAACAAATCGCTCGATTCCGCGCAGGCCGGCTGGGGGAGCTGGGCTCCAGCAAATCTCCCGGGAGATCGTCCTGGGAGAGGTGGACCATCGAAGAGGTGTCCAACGGGTGTCTGCACTGCTTAGGGATCTCCATGGGATCTCCATATAGGCACCCAGACAGGATGGTCCTGGCACTGGTATATATGTTTGATGTTGTTTTCCTTGCGAGGCCGAAGCCTCCAGAAGATTTGCAACTATTTGCAACCTTTCATCTCCTTCACTCTTCAACTGGCCTCCATTTCTCCCGGTGGCTGGCGAGCAAAGCTGGGTTCCGCCTGGTCCCACACAGCTGTCGAGAGGTCCCAATGGGTTTCTAATCACCGTTGTCGAATGTAAAAGGCAAGTAGAAAACACTCATATCATGCGACTGACTTGATGGAATCGGCAAAATCAATTACTGTGGCCCAAGCCCAAGTTTTATCCCCTGATTTGGAGAGAAGGGGAGAATCCATTTCTTCATGTCACACATCAGGACAGCACTGGGTGAGGCAAAAACAGGTTGGGTCGACCATATTTAGATGGTATCCATTAAATCCATATATTGTATAGCATTATAAAGCCATCTACTCTCTGAAAGCAATGCATCCAGCCTTTGTCGCCAATTCATTCTGAAACTTCTCGAAGCCTTCGCCGCCTCAAGAAAAGCACTTGCACAGTAGGTCACCCATTTTATTAGGTATTAATTATAGGTATAGGTCATAGGCTCCAACTAGCACTGTGGATATCATTGTATAGTGGTTCACTAGGTTGCATAAAACCAGCTACTAGCTAGCTACTAGTAAGCTAGCAAAGGATATCTCAAATCTCAACATGAGGAAGAGAATTGCTCGAGACCTTTTAGTGAGAGGGATTTTGGGGCCAAGGTTCATCTTTCTCATTCTCAGACCTCACGACCGAAAAAGGACCCCACAAACAGGGACTCTGCTCTGACCGAGCCCACCGTTTCCTGTGGTCGAAAAAATGGTTCCCTAGTGTGAAAAGTTGGCTCCGAAATTCAGAACTGCCCCCCTTCGGAAGATTGGATACGTAGGAATCCTTTGCGTTTTTCTGACCGGAAAACATCCTCCTCCGTTTGACCAGCTCGGGCGTCTGACCGGCTCGGTTCCCGAAAAAAAAAAGAAACATGGTTCCTCCCAAACAGCGGCGAGGCTCTTCCTCCCAAGCGGCTGATGAAGCCATTACGGTTCACCTCGATCGGCTCGAAGCGCACCGTGGACTTCAGCTCCTGGCCACAGGATTTGGAACACCAATTCCTGGCTGTGGCATGCTGTGGGCCCGACAAACATCCGATCACAGCTGTGGGTTGAGCGACACCATTCGACGAACCCAATGGGAACCCATCATATGGGGACCCCTCCATTCACCATGCACCTTCGGCGCGTGCATCGCACCTTCGGCAAAATTCGACGAATCTACATACAGTGGGGTTCAGAGTAGATGGCACCGACCCCAAGATGTCCTGTCAACAGATGGGGTCCTAAAGAAAAATCCAAAACCTTTGGGATCCCTTGTGCCCATCGTATCAGAGCTCTCTCCAGGTCGCACGCGACCCGACGCACGCGGACTGTGACCGACCTGGAGGGGTCGACGCTTCTCAAGGACTTCCTCTGCCAGTGGCATGAACTCCTCCGACCCGCGCGGTCGAAACGTAAAAAAATAATGAAACGAAGCCATTGAATCGGAAATGAAAGGAACGTCATGAAAGGAACTGCATGTTTTCACTTGAAAAGTCTTCAGTCTAGCCTTTTGGCATTCCTGATTGCGAAACAATCCAAACATGTCACAAAATAATACAAAATATTTATGTGTCAAGTTTATGTGGCCCTCAACAAGCCTTGAGCACATACATCTTATGATGAGTTCTAATTATGTCTAATTGATATGCAATCAAGGCCAAAGTGTTCACTCCGTAGTGAAGGACCCAAACCAGCAACAAGACATTCGAGTTCATTCACCCTGACCTTTTCCTCCAGCTTCAACACCTACAAGGCAGGGCACCATTCGAGCGAACTCCGAACAAAGCACAGAAGCTCTGCATCGACGCTGCGAGCTCTGTGAATTCTCGGATTGAGAGGGGTGCCTTGGGATCCAGGTCGTGCCAGCTGACGTGCCATTCGAACTTCGAGCATCGTGTGCCGCCCCGAAAAAACGAGCCTTCTCAAAGTTCGGCAGAGTAATTCCACCTGAGAAGCCGCCGTAGCCATCCATCGCCAGGGCGAAGTTTTCCTGAGCCAACTCTCAAAGTTGATATGATATTATATAATGTAATCATTCGTGTCAAACTTGAATCGACCGAGACGCATAATAAAACAAGTGGATGATCTGAGCTTGCAGCGATTTGCTCTCGTGTCAAGTTGAGATCAAGCTTCTTAAGCGCCTCAACCTGGAATCCAGCACTCCAACCACAAGTCCGAGTGAGTTTAAAGTATCATCGCTCTAGCATATTCTAACCAATTATTAGTTGCAAATCAAACCTTCGTGGGATTCAATCAATGACGCAGTTCAGCGGGTTTTTCGTACTGCAAACTACTCTATAGTACTCATGTTTCGTGCATCAAGGGCACCAGGGTGGCTGCTCGAAGCTCCTCAGTGCCTTCCTGCCGACGCTTGCGGTGCAGTCCACCCGACAATGCGTTTTCTGGAGAGAGTGATCCGAGTCGAAACCATCTTTGGCTGCGACAAAAGGATGCTTCTTCGCGAGTGGCCGAGTGGCCAATGCAAATACCCCAAGCTCGATTCAATATACATATAGGGATCCTCAAATAGATAGAAACGGTTTGCTTCAACAACGTTGGGAGTCATACCTACCTGACCTACAAGCTTTTTTGAACCAAGTTTGGACTCCTTCAGAAATTTGATGTGGTGCTTGGTGTTCGCCAAGAATTGTGCTAAGCAGACGCTGATACACCCTGATATACACCCTGGTGCTTTTTTCATTCAGGAAGAAGCAGTTCTCTTCAAGGAGCCAAGGCGCCCGCACCCAACAGGTTTGGACCCTTTCCGATTCTCGGTTTGCTGCAACCCTTCCCTTCAACATCCTTCAACTGAAGCGACCCGTCCGGGTTCTCGCTGAAGCCATGTCGACAGGTTGAACATGGTTGAACCACATTTTGACCCACAGCTGTTGTTCAATCATACCCTCTGCTTCAAGACGACCATGCCATATATAATAAACCGATACACTTGTGGATTTGTACTACCTGCTGCAATCGAAGGTGAGCAAGACATTTCGGCAAGTGCCAGGGAACCATGGGCCAACATAGGCCACAAGCACCGCAAATAAAGGAGACAAAGGAACAGAAAGGCAAAGACGCACAAATACAAGCAAAGAAGAATGACTGGACTTTGCAATTCATTGAGGACATAATGTTCCACCAAAAGTCCTGGTCGAGGAATTTCCCTCATATTTGATCACATTACATATATTACATCATATTACCCTCCTGCAAGCCCGTCACTGTCTCATCAAGTCCATCACTGTCTCATCAACTCCACCCAAATCGGATCCAAGTCGGCCTGCTTCAAGGCTTCAAAGAAGTCCTGGGCGCTCTTCACCTCTTGTTGGTTCACTCTTCTGTCGGTCTTCAGCATGGCATTGACCTGAGTCTGAGGGTGAGTAGCTGGGTGACCACGACAACTCACATCCGCACAATATATAGAATCCTGTTTGAACATATTTGTAAAGAGCCGGGTCAATTGTACATCTCTTTCTTTTGCCTCACTCTAGTCCAGGCGTCAAAGCAATGCTCCGACAGGTCTCACTCTCTGTCCTTCCGGACAGCTCAACGGTCCCTACGATTCGGTCAAACGCTCAGAACTTCGCCAAATGCTCGGCAGGTTGACAGGTTGCTTGGTAGGCGACTGGCTAAGCCTGGCTAAGCCAAAGGCGGTCTTGGCGGACTTGAACAAACTCTTAGCGAGTTCAGCCACTTCTGCCTGGCGATTTGGGTCGCTTTGGCAAGCTCCGAGCTGCTCAGCAACATCGCAAAAAATCAGCGACCAACGACAAGACAACTGCTTTAGTCTTGCGGTGTCTTGGAAATAAGTTGCTCTTGAAGTTGCCGAAAAAACGGGCGCAAAACCGCTCTCCACCCATGACTCACGTGTGAAGCCCGTCAGGCACACGTGATCGCCCACATCCTCCAATGCTGATGTTCAACAGCAGATGAGCTGGTTAATCAGACGCCTCGAACATCTATTGTATATTATGCATATAGTTATTTCACATTATATGTCAAATTAAGTTGACCTGAGGATTGACCTCGAATGCGCATTGATTGCAGGGTGCAACACCTAAACCTTCAGAAATGCTCAATGAGACCACTCATGGAACACAAGAACGGAGGCTCCTTGACAGATCCAGCCACAGATTGATTGGCCTTAGAACATTGCCGCTCGACAACTCACGCTGATGCCCATAGCCGGAGAGTCAGTGTGGAACGGAAACAGCCCCTGGATGTGCTTCAACACAGGGAAGAAAACCGAGAACATCCTCCCAAGTGAAAAAGTTGAAACTCAGAAAATAACCACTACAAACTGCTCCACGTGACACATCTGCATCCGTTTCTTAGCTCAAGTCCGAGTCTGCTTCTTCGAATACAGTCTTCAGCTCGTCGTACCAGTCCTGTCACAATCAGCATGTGACAAAGTGCGATGTGTAGCTGAATGCAAAGACATTCCCACGTGGTCGAAAACAGTTGCAGAAACGAAGGTTCGGAAATTATGTTTCGGAAACCATACATTCTTGGGAAGATATACAAAATTATTCGACAACAAAGGGGTTCTTTGTAAATCATGACATGGAAACTACCAGTACAGTCTTTGTTTGGGAAACTGCAGGTCTATGTTATGTTTTTGAAACTATGCTGTTCTTTGGAGACCATGGTAAGGACACCATGTGGGCAAAACCTAAGTCGCAGAATTGGAATGTTCATTGGCACTGCCACATTGTCTTTCCTGCAATCACAACGTACATCAGCACAGTCCATGCTTGGTAACCAATAAAAAGTTCATTGACGAGCGCACATCCTGTCCGGTATCCATCCGAAACCATTTTTGGTTCACCGTGGGACGCTCGTTTGACGAGAGCGTATAGGACGCAAGCTCCGTAGGACGCATCGGATCTCTTCGTCGTTTCTCCAAAAGCAAGTCAGTGTGGCATCAATGGATCTTCCCTCAGGCGACAAAAGCTCAAATTTCCTGGGCGGACATAAGCTCGCCCCGTCGGAGACACCAACACCGCATTTTGGAGGCCCGTTCCATTGGAGGTTGGAAGACACCAAGATGACAATGGAACGTCACGCCCAAAAACCACACGTAACGCACTCATTTGGACATAAAAGAAACATCATAAGCGGCAAACACCTGGGGTGTGGCGTAGGCCACACTTTCTGACTTTGCCCACCAGTTCGGCACAGTGCCAACCGCCGATCTTAAAAAGTATCTTAATGAGTCTGAAAGGAACAGCACTTTGAACACCTGAAAGGTGATCGAGTGATTGACTGTCCAAACAGGAATGTGTTTCAAGGCAAGAGTCGTGTTATCCGCCAAGCGGACCTTAAATCGATCATCCTCCACCTGGCAAAACAGCAGAATGCGGCACACCATTCCATGGCCTCTGATGCACGTTCATGAGAGGACTCCCGGGGCAATCCCTGTTGCTGACATGGCGCACCGTGCGCCTCCAAATCTTGGATTTCCTCAATCATTATGCGATCTGCGGGAACTCCTTCATTCACCTGGCAAGCAAAAACTGAAAAACCGCCAGAAAGGCCCAGGAAAAAATATGTATGACATGTTGCAAGGGCATAGCTCCTGGACAGAGTCTCAAGAATTGTTCATACATCTTAGACTAAGACCAATGCAGCTAAACCTGTGCGTGTTGAAGCTGCATGTTGGCGCTTTGTAGGTTTCCAAATGGCCGCGATCAAATGTGTTTGCTTTGGGACATGCCTGGTCACTGGTGAACCTGTCTTGGTCGACCCTCAATAAAGGGGAAAGAATGATGGGGCTAAGCAGGCTTCTCCAAGATGTTGTATGCCTGCAAAATCCTATGGAGTTCGCAAAATGTCTTGATCCATAAGACAAGGAAACGAGTGAGTTGCCCCTTTTTGTCATATCCCCTTGTTGATCCCCGATCAACCCTGCTGAACATCGATGCTTTTGGCCAACACTCTGTCTACATGCATGTATTGCTTGGAACCCTGGGTCTGTGCCATAGAAAAAACTCTCAGTGGTTCTACCAGGGCAAACCTAACTTGATACAGTGTGGTCTTAGTCTGGTCTTTTAGGCTGGACGATATATCACCGGAATGATCCCATGGAAACCGCTGAAAGACATGGAAGTGACATGAATTGTAAATGATCACACAAGCAAGGAATGTCACAACAAATTGGGAAAGTCAAACAGAAGTGGCATAGGGGATTGCCGGGAATGATTCCTTCTATCCTTCAGGAATATATGGTCATACTGAGTCATACTGAGTCATACTGTCATAATTACCCGTGTTTTGGCGCTGTGAACCGATTCTGGGCGCCCAGCGTCTGCTCCTGCGTCCATGAAGATCTCTACGCAGCCCTGGCGGACAGCCAATCGTGCATCCAAGTAGCACATCTCCATATTGCTTGGCCGAAAAGATCAGCTTTGTGTCGACATGAATGGACCCGAACTGCTATGTGGTGATCCTGTCTTGCCCTCACACATGTGCTAGATAGTCACTTTTGAAACTCACAAAGACTGCACATGATTTGGACTCCACGCCTCTCGTAGCGCGAAAACCACGGCTCTCGCCTGCAGAACGTTTCACGTCAGTTTCACTCTTTAGGGGATTCCATTCATTCCCTCTTTCAGGAAAATGGGGAGAAGCATGGGATAGCTTCGACTCATCCAACTCATCCACCTGGGATGAACACATCTTCTTCACTTCCAACTTGGCCCCCTTTTCCGCGCATCCAACCCGTTCCGCCGCGGAACGCCCCGCACCGCCGTCCCGTTCCAGAGACGCCGCCGCCACACCGCCACGCCGCCACAAAGGCCCGCGCCACCGCCCTCGTCCTCGCCTCCGGGTCCTCGCTTTTGCGGAAGTGAAACCTGTGAGATGGATGTCTCAAGCATCACTTGATTGTGCCTCACGTGTGACTGGCTAGATTGTGCCTGTGGCCCAAACTTCGAAACATGCTCTTTTTGGGAATCCGCAAACGCAGCAAGCGCGCTATAGCGCGCCGTCAACAGCGTTGTTGTTACTTTGTGCAAACCATGCAGGCACTCTCAACATCAACCAAATGTTCAGACTTTGCCATGTTGAGTGGAAACCATCTGTTGCCAGTTGTTCACACACAAACCTACAATTTCCGGGACCGAGTAAAACATTCAAGTCAACAAGAACGCTGCAGACCAACTTCGTTGCGGCCAAATCTTCTGTGACCGAGGCCTTCAAGGCGATGCTGTCTCTCTCTCTCTCTCTCTCTCACTGCTCTCATCGGCCGCCATCGACAAAGCTGATTAAAGGAAGCACCTAAAATCGATGAAATGATGAATGAGGATGAATGTGTGATTGAGCCATGAGCCAAGCTCGTGATGGAAGGCGCTTCGAAAACAACCCGCAAAGGCCATGGCGTAAGAACATGTAAGAACTCCAATCTGTGGAAACATCTGTCGATATATCTGGGTGTGTTCAGTGTGCTTCGCACCGACATGGCTGAAGCGATGCAACATTGGACCACATTGGAGAATGAGTCACAAATGTGAGCAAAAATCGACTATTTGAAAGATTTTGAAATGAGCCCTCCTGGAAATCTCGTCTGGGATGCAGCATGCCCTGAAATCAGTCGCTCACGGCGGCTGAGCGTTTCGCTCGCTCAGCCGAATGGATGCATCACAAACGCACAGCTCCTGCATGGAACAATCCACATGACCGTAGCTGCATGTTGTCACTACGCAGGGTTGGAACATTGGGCTGTCCTCGGCAAAGACGCCCCATTGGAGTATTGCTGCAGGTACTGCACACCTCGCGACTTCTCGGGTTTGCTGTTCTTCGCAGTCACTCTACGGGCCAGTCACTCCAAGATTCTGCGGCCCAGTGGCTGTTCGAAAACATCTCCCACAGCGTACTCCTTGTTCCTTGAAGCCCCAAAGAAAGCCGTTGCATTGCTGGCACCTCGGGTATTCAAAAGCTCAGCAAAGCAAAGCTGGCTTCTCCAACAACTCGACTCCTCTGTGGTTATGGAGGTACGAGTACTTCATTTCCCCGTAGCCACTCAACAAAGGCTCAAGAGTCATTTATGGTCAGGGTCTACTTATTAATTGTCATTATGTCTAAATTGATTTATCTTTACCCAAAAAGACATTATGTCCACCATCAAGCTATGGAGAAACGATGAGAAACGGCCAAACGGAAACAGGGCCCGAAGTCGAACGTGATATGACCTGCTGATACCTGCTGCCTGCCTGCAGGATGCGACCCGGAAAAATGAAAAACAACAGCTCTGACTCTGACTCTTGGCCACTCTGAGGAGAAAACACAAAACAAATCACTTGCTTCCAAGGGACCATGTTGGCTCGTACAACGTCACAGCTGTGAATTGGCACAAAGTCTCCGACATGACGCCTCAGTGAGCATTTTTCCCAGTGGTCGACCATCGAAGCTTGCGAGAGTTGCTGGTTCTTGGGTCTTCCGAAGCTTCCGAAATGGGTTGAATCAGCTGCGAAGCTAGGGAAGGGAGCCCAATCATTTGCGAAGCTTGCGAATCAAAATGAATCAACTCGTACTTCCGACTGCCTGCTGAGGAGCTAAAGCCTTGGCGATCTACAGGGCGTGCAGGGAGTTCATCTGGGCCCAAGAGTCAAGACAAACGCCGAGTCCAATGAGTCTCTTCAATTGAATTTGCCGTGGGCAGTCCTCCGTCTTCAACGTGCTACAAAGGAATATTGAATAATGTGAAGACTTCGAGTCAAGGTGTTCCTTCACTATTTCCGGCCTGGTATGTCGGCCTCTTCTTCTGCACCTGATCGCTCCCAAAGAACACAGCTGCAACTCTCCCTGAAAGGAACAAGGAAATGTAGGGACCCCTGTCAGCAAAATCCAAATAAGTGACATACTAAGACCCGATCTCCCAGTATCCAGCGGCTCCCAGTATCCAGCGTCTCTCTCTTGCCGATATCCCGCTGCGAAGCCATTGATTCGGCATAGCCAGGTACCTGAAGCAAATGACGTGATATCCTGGGGGATAGTCTAGAGACAAAATGTTCCATAAAAGGATAGAATGCTTATGGACCAAGGTCTATACAAAAAAAGCAAACAAACAACAACGTAGCAGCTATAGTATATTATAGTATGCAGCTCTGATTTCATTCACGTGGCTTGAGAGGAATGTTTTTGGGTTGATTCCAATGGCTTCTCTGAGGCCAGAGCTGATCTCAGCAGTGTGCTCCAGAACGTCAAGCTGCGTCGACTCTAAAAAGCTCCCGTCTTTTTGTTGAAGGGCAACCATACATCTCCTGGATGCGCTTGGGAGCGTCCAATGTGGATGATGTAAATGAAACACGTGTTTCCATGCATTTGAATCATTTGCGGCAAATGACCGGTCTGAGCGTATTCTTTCGCTACTTCAATCCACACCCAGCCTCAAGCGGTCGGTGCTTTCTTTGTCCCCCAGCATGGCAGCAGCACAGGCGGTGCCATAGGCTGTCGGGGCTGTGAAGAAGTTCTTGCATCCCTTCAAGTAGCGCAGCCTTCGCACCGTGTCGATCATGTGACGCGCGAATTCTCCGGCCCTGGGGTCAAAATAGACCTGGCGGTATTGCTCTGCTACCCAGCATGTCGGTTTATTGTCAACAAGCACCTGGCAAAATCGTTGAAGAAACAGGTTTCATCAGGTGTCCAACCAGTGGTCGACCCGAAATCGGCAAACTGAAAGCATCTGAAAGCAAGGAGCAGCTCTTCTGCCACAGATCGATACTTCTGCTTTGCAGACTCAGCCAGACTCCTGCCGAGCACATTTCTTTGAGTCCAACTCAGATTTGTTTTGCAGCATTCTGATTCCTGGTTGCCTCGCGTCTGACTTAAACATATCCACATGAGATCAATGTGATGTCTGTCTTTTCAAGCCGACATGTCCGGCACCTGAAGGATGTTGCAACCTCGAGCAGAACTGCTGTGGGTAAACCCATGAGAAAATAGAGCCTTGGTGTGGCGCGCTTGCTCAGTCCAAACGTAGCAAGAGGAAGGTCGCGAGCGACCCCCGACAGGAATTCAATCAAAACCGCCACTGCGAGTGCCACCACGCAACTGCTGTTCTCCAGATGTGCTCACACAATACAGAGGGTCCTCAGCACTGAAACACGTGCATGCATTGACTCTGCCTGTCCGACAGGGATGTCTTCTCTGGATTCTTTCCCCCACCTGCCTCAACTCTCTCAATAAATCCATCTGCCCATGTCCAGCGAATGAAGAATCGGCCGCTGGCCATAAATCTCCTGACAAGTGCAGCGATCAATCAACACACGAGGTTGCCCAACGGCCAAAGCAATCGAAATGGCGGCATGATGCTGTTTTCAACTTGGATGAAAGGTGATGAAAGGGTGCTTGCGAAGTCGGCGCAGTTTTTCAGTTCATCCTGTTGGCATCCACCGCACGCAGAAGCGAATCCGCCGCCGCCAGTGCAATGTGCTCTTGGCCACCAAGAATGGCTGCCTCTCACCAGGGGTCAGTGATGAATGTGAAGTTCTGGAAGATCTAGGAAACATCTGAGCCCAGTGGTGCTGTGGCTTACATCTGGATCTTATATGGCCTAATTGTTTGCCGCATTTTTCAGTGAAAAGACGAGACGCCATCAAAAAACAAGACCGTTCTTCACAGTTGCAAACATGTGCTCAAAATCCGACGGGGAAAGAAGTCGTTTGGACGCCTAAATACACCGCTTCTTTTTGGTCTCTCACCAAAAAATGACGTCCTTGAGAAAAATTACCGTAACGGATCGTAACGGTATGTAACGGTATTCTTTTCTGAAAAGGCAATGATGTGCGCCGTTTCGAAGATCAATTTCAACGGCTTCTATTGACGTCGGCCGATTTCAATCTTCCATCCATCCTTGACAGTCACACCAAGTTGACAAAAGTATCAGGTTCAACTCTGATGGCCTTCAGGCGACGCTACCGCTGGACTACGGAGTCGACGCCACAGAAGTGCGCACCTTCGCAAGCACCGCAGTCGCAAAGAAGTCGGCCTGCGATGACTTGACTCACCAATGAAATGGAACAGGCATTGACTTTACCATTGGAAAAAACAAAGAATTGGATCTGCCCAGGACCCAATCTGATGTTCCAAGTAGCAGCGGCAGAATCTCGATCATTTTGCCCATGTTTTAGCCTTCATACAGTCTTCGCCTCGATGTGTCCATTTCCATCGACTCCTCTACCTGCCTCCTTCGAGTCCTTCGAACATGCAAATCGGATGAGCCGCCCAGCCATGCCCGCCCATCTCTCGCTCGTCCGCTCACCTCCCCCAGTTGAGACCACGCGCCACCGTAAAAAAAAAGAAACGACCTCACCACCAGGACCCCCTAAGGGGTGGTTAATGAACACCCCTTAACTGCTAAGGGGCCATAATTAGACACCCCTTCAGGGGAGGCATACGTCGCCTCATAGGTGGCATTCCATGCATAGGGCTCCAAGATGAGCCCACTGCTGGTCAAGGGATGCCTCAGACGTAGCTGCTACGAGAGGCATAGAAAGAGACACCTGGGCCCCCCAAAGGGGCCGATAGTACAAATCAAGATACCAAACCCGAGTCTGTCAAAAGAAAGAAGACGATCTGAATCGAACATGACCAAAGGGATTACTTTTAAGACATGTCGAAACCTGCAGCTGTTTCCAAATGTCCGATTGCTCACTCGGCAGTCGATCTGTCGTGTCGTCGAGTTCCAGACCGATAGCTGAAGATGCTTTGAGTGCATCTCCTTAGACACAAAGCAAAAGCAGTGAAGGACAGGTCATTGATTATCAGACCCTGAGATTGTGTGATTCAAAACGCCCAATGAATCCAAATGAGACCTGTTGTGACATGTTGTTGCATGATTTTTGCGCGGTTCCAGCACGTGTTTTCACAGCGCAGACTTGCCAGATCAATGAGAACAACGAGAACGAACCTCGGGAATTGTTGAAATCCGTTTGGGCTACCCTTCGGAAAAAACAAATAAATAAAAATAACAACATAGACACTTACGACTTACGACACACTTGTAGTCTTGTGGGAAGCATGCCTGAAAGAACAAATTGTCCAACCCAGCCCGGGGGACATGGGTCCCGGGTCCACCCTCCAGTATCAGGGCCGGGCCGTATCCCGATCGCCATGAATGTGAAGAAACATGAAGAAACCAAATGCACAAACACACACACACACACCCCACTGGCTCAAGCACAATCAACCGCCAAACATTGCCAAACCACCTGCCAAACCCTGTTAGGACATGCCATGGCAGACAGTGAAATCCTCATTCACCGACCTCATTCACCAGCCACACCGGACACTCCTCGTCGGCCGACTCGGCCTCGGCTTGAGTCGAGCATCTCTGCGAGTTCCCTTTGACCCAGGCGAGCAGCAGCTTCACAAATCCACAAGAGTGGGTACCTCGTGTTGCGGATGCATGGATGCAGGTTCAGCTGCAGCTTCGGCAGCTGCGGATGTTCGTGCTCGGTGCTGCGTTTTTGTTGTTTGCTCGGTTGGTGGGGTGTTGGCGTGCTTAGGTGTTGGTTGGTTGGTTGGTTCGTTGGTTCGGTTGCTTGATGTTGCTTGCGGCAACCTGATGAATGGGTGACTTCAACCTGACCCAACGAACCTGACCCACCCGTCCCTTCCACACGACTCGGCTGAAGCGAAAGCAACCTCCAACTCAGCCAGCCCAGGCACTGAGGATAGATCATCGAGAGCTTCTTTGAGCCTAGGAGGCCAAGCTGTTCTGCGATCAAAGCAGGCTTGGCGACGCGACCTGGGGGCCCAGTATGATTGAAATACCATGAACTACCCGTCAGACGGCCCGTCAGAGTCAATGCACTGGGTGGTTGGACGGCTTGAGTCTTCCGTCGACGAGTCTTCTGGCCCAAGGGACTACCTCGATTTCCACGCACGTAGCGAGCCGCGATCTCCAGAGCTCTGCGTGCCTGGTGACTCCGAAAAGAACAGAAGCGATCGACGTTTTTTGCAGAGACATCTAATCTGGAGCCTAAATGGAAAGGGTGCTGAGCTTCGTCCCCTGCGGAGGGTATCAGTCTGGCAAAGTCTGAGAGGACACTCCCGAGAGATCCCGCCTCAGCTTCGTGCCCTGCTTCCATGAATGCCATGGGCAGGCGGAAGTAGTAAGCAACCTTGGCAGATTTGCAGGAAAGGGCAGACTCACCAGCAGACTCTGATGTCATTTGTGGCCAGTCATTTCTGGGTTCTCCGATCCACTCCTGCAGCTCAGGAGCGTCATCATGCTCTGAAATCCAGGACTCATCCAAAGAGCGGGAGAGGTACATTAGCCTGGGAGGCGCTGGGCGAAGGTGTGGGCCAAGCAATGTTCATATCGTCACTTGCTCCAAGTCTCCTCCGTCTGGTAGATGGGTGTGTCTCTTGTGAGCCAGGTAGGCAAGTTTAACATCTCTCCCTTGCCAAAACCCTTGAACCTCGGGGCACTTGAACGTTTCATGGAGAATCCCGGGGAGGATACGAAGCAACCCCCTAGTGTTTTGTGTGAAAGAAAAGTAACTAGCTTGGCTTGTCCTCGCTGTAAAAGAGAAAAGCTCCTATTCTTGATTGTTGATTGTTCACGAAGCAACTGAAAACCTGGAAGAAAAACACTTTGGGGTCTGGGTCAAAATGAACATGTGGAAGCTTGAAACACTTCTGCTGCTCAGAAACGCTCGCTCAACTTCCCCCACTGCAGCACGATCCTTGGCAGGATTGGATTGGATTCGCATTTGTTTGTTCCATGTGCAGTTTGCACTTGCCTAGGTTTGTTGAACTCACACGCCATGCAAATTGGAATGTTTCTCATTGGACGGCAGTAGTTGGTGTTTTCTTGCCAGGCAGCGACCGGTGATGGATTGGACCAGCTCTGTTGGCTTGCCTTCAATCCTGGTGCCGTTTGGGATGGTGGGGCATGGCGCCTAGGCTAGGGCATGCGGTGGTTGAACAAATCATGGGAGTCAGGAACCTGTAGGTTTTTAGACCGCTTTCCTTTAACCAAGCAGGTTTTCGGATGGTACCATATGGTATCCTATTTTGGGAGCCATAGCCAACGGCACAGGTATTTAGATCAAATTCTTCAAGCTCCCCACAGGGTCCTGCGCCAGGTCTGCTGGCCTGCGATCGTCCGCTCGATGTCTAATCCCTCCCAAATGAAGAACAAATAACCATTTGAAAGTAGGGACCTACAGCCTAGGCTAGGTCAGAGTCTAGGTGGCTACCCTGGGTCGACTATACCTTGAGTGGGACTTCTATATACCAAACCCATCAAAAATGTCTTGAATTGAATCACACGAGGCCATGGCCAAGAAATCTGAACAGCTAGGAATCTTTTGGGACATCCCTTGGTGATCTGCCCCCCGTTGACCAGCCTCTGCATTTGAAGGATAGCTTGCCTGTGACCGTCTAAAGTCCCAAGTCAGCAGTCTTTCTCATCAGTGTTTGGATCCCATCGTTTTTCAGTCGTAAAAAAGGTTTTAACAAAAAACAGTTCCATGGAGCGTTGCGGCTCGTGGCCAAATGGCCGAACTGACATGTATACGTCAAAAAATATTGTCCGAATCATAATTGAACTGACCAACAGAAACATCATCCGTCGTTAACCGCTTACATATAGTTTTTCCAGCACTTATGGTTTGACACTGTTTTGATGCCATTTGATGTCTAGTCTAGGATGTGGCAAGAACAGTACCACTGAAAAAACATTACCACTGACCCAACGCACTAAGATCCACTGGCCAGTGGTGTATTTTTCCGGGCATGGTCCTTCCAGGATACGAAAACTCGCACTCTGCTGATCTACAGTCTGCCCGACCCCTTGAAATACATGTATCATTGAAACCGAGCTAAATTGAGATTCAGCACTCTGGCAACATCAAAAACTGTAGACTCAAACTTAGCATATCAATCTTGACTGAAGCCAATTACATGAGATGAAACTAGGTCCACGGCGGATAGACGGCCGTGGGGTTATGAAGGATGGTCGTGGGGTAATCACTCTTAAATATGCGTCATTCTAGTAGGAAGATGTGAGCGACAGCTCATCATTGGAATCATGGCGAATTCCATGCAGATTTCGATAAAATCAGAGTTTCGCTGAGGCGAAATGGCGACTTCGAAACATTTTCGAAGCTACGCAACTACTTTTGGCGTCGGACATGTGTGCGACTTTTTCACTCTTCACAGGAGCTGCTCCAAGCGGTGGGAGTCATATACACTGATAAAACTAATGAATATAAGTCATATATTTATCGAATTTATCAACATTGAATATAGTGAGTACGTAATGAATGATAATGTGTCCTTTGATATCTGATAGAACGACTTGGAGTGATGGTTTGGTCAAACCTCACAAGTCCCTTGGAGTGATGGATAATGTTCCCACACTGCTAGCCACAAACCCCACAAAAGTTCTGAGTAGTCCGTCAAACCCTGAAAATCCAAACACCAACGGTCCTGGTCCAAAACTATTTCGAGGGTCAAACCAACCAAAGGATCCCCACCACGAACTTTACTCCAAACCAAAGTCAAGTCGTCCAGATAACCTGGGTGAACACGAAACCACGGTCGAAGAACCAGGGGTACCTTGTCCACGTCCACAAAACCTGCCAACCGCAACAAAAAAAACAACGAAACGCACAAAAAAAAACAAAGGTTGCGGCATCTCTGAACTGAGCCAAAAAAAAGGATGCAGTGTCTATCCGAATGTAACCCGCAAGAAAATAGACTGAAGTAGATAACATGCTACGCCACAGGTGTGCTAATTAGCCCCACCCCCACCCCACCCCCCCACCCCCCAAAAAATTACCACGCGTAGTACTGTAGAAAGCAAAGGATCAAAAACAATGTAAGAAAAAGCCACGGCCGTCTATCCGCCGTGGGCCAACTACATGCCCCAACTTGGCATTTGATGGTCAGTTTGGAGATTGTTGCTCCTTGTCGTTTTACCAGGGTTTGGCCACGTTTTAGCCTGAACCAGTGAGTGAGACTTTGGTGCGGAGCCAGCCGCGTAGCCCTGGGGATCTTCACCTAAAGTGGATTTGCATATAAGATCTTTTGACCCACAACCATAGCTAGATCGGTGAAGCTTCAGCCCTTGGTATTGTCTTTTCTTGGCTCTTGAGCAAAACGTTCAAGTTCGAAGAATTTGCCCCAAAGCAGTTATTCAGCTATTCAATCCATCACTCGTTCGTAGAAGAATGCTCTTGCAGCACACCCTGCTCTGGCAGAGTATCCAAGAGAAACTCAGACTGAAGAAAGCAGTTCATCAAGATTAGAACATATACACATATCCGCCGACCCCACACCGTGGGGTGAGGCGTGACTGTCGATGTTAGCCTTAGCCTTAAGCCTTAGCCTTAGTCCTTAGCCTTAGACCTAGTCCTTAGCCTTAGACCTAGACCTAGACCTTACCTCCCCTACCCCTCCGGACCCTTGTTGCAGTTACGAAAATCGCGCCCTGAAAGCTACCTGAGCGACCCGGGAATTGTCCAAGATTCTGCCATCCCAATTGATTTACATCTTGGGGCACCCTCTCGACCCGCGCGGGAAAATAAGCACGGTCCAAAATGGTCCTGGGCTCGAATCCCGGGCCGGTCGCGGCATGGTCCCGGCCAATGCCCTTGCTTTTTCGTAGATTTTGTCACGTTTTCTGTTGGTTTATGAGATTTTCAAAGGCTTTTCTGGCATTTTCCTAGGAATGCTCTAGGCTTTGTCTTTTTGGGTACCTGCTTTGGTGGTGCTGGGTTGGGTCTAAATTGGTAAACCTGGGAGGTACCCAAAAAGTCGACTTTTTGGGTACCTGCTTTGGTGGTGAAGGGTTGGGTCTAAATTCTTGGGCAATGATCGGGGTTCATGCAAGAGCTGACGTCCGATGGTAAATCTGGGAGGTACCCAAAAAGTCGACTTTTTGGGTACCTGCTTTGGTGGTGCTGGGTTGGGTCTGCACTCTTAAGGCTAAGGCTAAGGCTTAAGGCTAAGGCTAACATAGAGCAAGGCTAGCGCTAAGGTTCTATCCCTTGGGGGTCGGCGGCTGCAGGCGGTAGCCTGGTAAATATTAGGTATTGTGCCCGCTCAACCCAAGTCCATTCACCTCTTTCGCCGGTGAATTCACCGGACTGGCTGCCTAGCAAAAAATCCCTCTATAGCAGGTGTGTGTGTGTGTGTGTCACACTCTGTCTCTTCACCCAGCAGGGTGCCAGGGATGCACACTGGACTGGCACAACGAAGACGCCAGTGTCAGTGTTGCATCTGCGAAATCGATCCGGGACGCTGGATCGACGTACCTGCTTGTTTTGAACTGTTGATCAAGCTGTTGCCCCAATGTTTCCTAGCCTGCCAGGCGCCGGTGTTCAAACAATTCTGGTTTGCAAACCTTTCGCCATACCGTTTTTGCAAGTCAAGGTCTACCTTCAGTAATGTAAAGGGCTAATGCACCTGCGAGTCACTAACTGAATCAATGTTCACCCCGGTGAGCTCTCTATCTAAGTGGGCGGCGACAACCGCGCCGCGGGTACAGCAGCATCTTTGGAGATGATGTGATGAGATGATGTGGTAAGAACAAAGTTTCATTGGTTCAGTAACAAGAAGCTACTAGCAACAAAGGGCATTGCTACTAGGAGCAAGGACGCTACGAACGTAGCTCCCACTAGTAACAAGAAGCCATCTCCTCCAGTAGGAAAACAATGGAGTTACTCAGAAGCGGCAGTTTCAACCCAATTCTCGGATCACAGAAGGGCGTGTCTGTCCCAAATTTTGGCGATGCTCTTTGGCGAAAACCAAGGCTCAGCGCCTGCCGGGACATCTCCACCGTGTCGTCTTTCAAGTCAGGAGGCGGGGCATCAGCGCCCTGCGAATCGACGTGTTTCAGTCAGCAATGCTCAGATTTGCATGCGTATTGTCGTGGTCTTGAGAGTGAAAGCACATGGTAGGTACGAGTAGATCGAGTATAGATGTTTTTAAAGAAAAAATAACTACAGCAAAACATTTATAAACATTGATAAAACAGGTGTTGCATGGTGTTGCTGTGCAAGTACAGTAGAGGTTCTTTCCACCAATCCACTCCTGCGCCTTGAAATGAACGGTGTCCAATCACCCCCCAACTGATCGTTTTTGAGCACAAAAACCAGAAAAGAGTAGCTTCTAGCTACTGGATGCTACTGGTAGAGATGCCCATCGTTACTTGTAGCTTCTTGTTCCGTTCGTAGCTTCTGGCCTCCAACCTAGTAGTTTCTCTTGTTTAAACCCAGGACCCATGCCTCCCATCCCCGTGGCCCGTCGTGACCGCCCGTGACCCGGCCCTTCCGCCGGGCCGGGAGGCCTGTGGTGCACGTGACCCGGCCGGTGCACGTGCTGATGGCCGCAGGCAACCACAGAGGTGCCGCAGTCTCATCAGCCGGGAGCCGCCCAAGGACTTGTCTGCGTGCTGGTAGATTTGAAGTGGGAAACTTGGGAGTTGCTCATCTGCTGGTCAGAATGAATGAATGAATGAATGAATGAATGAATGAATGAACGAATGAATAGGGATCGATATATTATATATATATATATACTGTAGGTGAAAAGGATAGGCTGACGAGTTAGAAAATGTCTTAGTGGCTGAAATTGTTGGTGGTCAAGTTAAGGGAGTGAAGGTCGTTGCGGTATCGAGAGATTGTCATCGAATGTGACACTCCTTGGTGTCAGTGATTTAGTCGGGGTGTGGCTGCTTTGTGTACTTGATCAGGACATATCAGGACCTTGCTGATTTATGCTTGAGCCACGCTCAGACTTAACCAGAAGATGTGGTGATGGCTGTACATGTGCAAGGCTTGCATGAGTGTTCATGGGCAACTGATGCAGGATTCGGGATTCGCCCAGCAGTGGTATTTCCTTGGGATTATGGGAAGGACCCACCCAAACCACCCAGATCAACCAAGCAACCCCAGGATGAAATGATTCATAAGAGCTTTGCTCAAATTCCTCCAACTCCGGTACCGGTCGCCAAAGGTGACAGCTTCGGTACCTGCCATGACACACCAGCTTTCCCTTGCGAGGCCTCAGTGATGGTCGACATGTCCACACATGTGCTGCGCGGTGCAGTTGATGTTGATTTCCAAGAAGGTTTAGTTTGGGGAGACTGATCTTCCCCCCGCCAGGCCCCATCAGGCCCCCCATCGATCCAATTGGCCTTACATAGGCGTAGACATCATGTGCGCAGTATCTGGGTCACACAGAAAATGCCCTTCACACCCGACGAAGAATCTCCCAGCGGTGGGGATCCCTGCGGCAATTCCTTCGGACTTGACATTGATGGAGTTGCTGGAACTGGTCTGGCATTCGACAGGTCCTCTACAGCCGTGTCTGAGAGTCCCACTCCGGTTTTCAGAAAAAACACGTTGGGTGTGTGTGTGTGTGTGCGTGTGTGTGTGTGCGATGAACGAAAGTTGAAGGAATACCACAGTTGAGATTACCACATCTCAGAACTGACGCCAATTTATCCTGGTTTTCCACACGACCATTTTGGACTCGTTTGCTCTCCTGTGCCTCCGGAGCATCTGGATCCGTCTCCCAAGCTTTCGTCCAACGTCTCAAGTCCTGGCATCCGCTCGGCATCCGGTCGCGTGAAGATCGGCCGAGAGACGCACCTCGGGGCTCAAAGCCTTGAGCTCCAGGGTCCTTTCGCCCAAGGTCACCTCACACCACACGAAGGGCGGCAGAGGAGAGGGCAAAGAGGGCAGGAGCTAGTGAGTCTAGTCTAGTGCCCCGAAGTGAAGTCAATGAATTTTACGTCATCGCTCCTGCTCGCTGGTGGAGGTGAAATCTCAATTGACCCTTGAGATCTTGAATACTCTTCGTTGGCGCAAGTTCATGTGCTGCTCAGATTTGGACTTTCATTAGCTCACCAGTCACCTCACACGGCGAGGCAGTCGCCGTGTGGGCGCATGCGGGCGCATGCCATCCAGGTGGTCCCGCACCCGAGAAAGAGTGCCACTCTTCTGCTTCAGCAGTCCCACCTCGAACGCAGTGATATCCTCCATCAAAGCACGACAGCGCGCAGCGGCACCTCATCCGGTGGACTTCCCCACCCCGGTGACCCCGCGTTGCGAGCGCGTCGCGAGATGAATCCGCGGCGGGTTCGCACTGGTGTACAGAAAGGTGATGAGCCCAAACGGACGGGTTCGGTGCTGATTGGTTCGGTTCTTGTTCAGCGATGTTCGATTGAAAAAATATCAAAGGGTTGGTGAGGCCTTGTCCTGTTTGAAGGGAGGTGATGTTCAGGGATTCCGTCTAAATCATGAGGCCGGATAGCAAAGATTAGCAAAGTATTCGACCTGAACTCCCACAACTACGCCTGCTCTGAACTCCGTCTCACTGAGGAAGTACCTGAATGAAGCCATTGATCAATAGAGGCACGACTGTCTCAGCAGTGCTTGCATTGTAGATGCTTGTCGTCGAACTGAATCGGAATCAAGTGCAACATTGAACTCAGTATTCACGTTCGTGGACTACCCCAGAAAACAACTATTAAAAGATTAAAAGTACAATCGGCAAGCCAAACGTTTCTTCCCGGTGAACCAGTTGTGCCAAACAATACACATGCAAAACTCTGTGACTCGTTGTGCGCACTCGAAGACATCGGTACGCAAAATGCAGTACCTGGTCGAAAGAAAAGAAACGTGATCTCTAGAGGACATCAACCGGATGTCATGGAAAGTGACTTGAGTAAAGGCAACACTCCCTAAGATTGGATGCTGCAGTACAAGACTGCAGGCGTCGAAGGCTTGATCGAATCCCAGTCCCTCACGTATCGTATCACTTCGCCGTCTGCACCAACGACCGACGACCGCCATCCGAAAAACGCTCGGACTCGCCTCCTTTCCTCTTTGGACTTCTTCTGGATGAGCAAATCACCTTCGCCTGTGAAAACCAATGTGAAAACCAATGTGAAAACCAGTGGCCACTCTTGAGTCTACATTACAGGCTGCTGACTGCAAATAACATTTCCCCTTCCAGAATGGCTTTACAGACCTGGGAGGGTGGTTTTCATCAGCAAATATCAGCAGTCTAATGGATGCGGAGCGAGAGAACTCACCGAGCTCATGGCAAAGGACTCGCACTCCCTGGCGGAGTCGCCGAGTGTCTCGGAGTCGCGATCGGAAACCCGGAATGGAACGGAACCGTCCCGTCCCGCTCCGCCAGCGGAGCGTTCGGAGTCGGATCGGACGAGTCCAACATCTCGTCGTCTTCGAATGCAACGCATGTCGGAGCTGCATCTCGTGGGGTTGTACCACCTCATGTGGCCGGACGCGTGTGGACAGACTTCTTCATCTGCCATTTAACTCCATGGGATCCAGATCTGAGTTTCCATTCGTCCATGGAACTCCCCAAACCAGATCCGCGTTCTTTCTCTTCCCATTCGGTTTTTCCATGCAAAAAGGGGCTTCTTCGGAAAATCCTGTTGGCCGGCTTTCCGCGTGTTTCGCCTGAAAAAACATCGCAATCCCGATTCTGCAGAACTTGGGGCCAAGGCCACTGACGCTCGCGCTCACATGTCCACCATCTGATGATAATATTGGTGTCAAGCCTGTGATTTCAGCACCATGAGATGCATCAGGTAAACACTCCATGCACCTCCACTAGGGGAGTGAAGAAGGAGATAAAGGAGATTCAGTGCTATACTAAGCCATATTATGCCAATTTAATTGTATACAGTGCTGTACTGTGGTTCCTCAGGGGCCTTGCGCATGGCGCCCAGCATTTCTGGTCAATCTGAGGCCTAGGCCTCCAACGAAGTTCGCCTCAAGATCAAGCGATCTCGTCGGATCATACTGGATCTCTGACAAATGGATGGTGAAGTGACGAATGGTATGTATAGTAATGTTGACCTATGATTAAAAAAGGGATCCGAAATAAAGTTAGCCAAGCTCCGCCTTGATTATATCTGAGTGTAGAAATACCATGAGTTAAGTCCATTCTCTCCCTTACAACCGACACCTTACATACTTCTCTTCCACCTCCCCACTTGTCATCTCTTCAGTGGAAATCACAGGCATTCGTCGTGGAAGCTTTGTGCTTAGCCAAGGGTCACCCAGCTGCTTCTTTAGAAGGTCTTCGAATGCCCGTGTCCAGGCTGCAAACTCCTGTGACCGAACGCAACATCGGTCATACTTCAGTACGAACGCCCGTGTCCAGCGACTGGGCAGTGATTGAAACTTGACCAAGTGTTATGTAATTGTTTAAAAAGCATGGAAACTGGCAGGACAATGAAAACGGTCTATTTTATTCTATTTGACTTATTAAGCCCGGATCCCGTGGGATATGTGGGAATGAGACCTTGTTGATCCATTCTCTTTGATTCTCTGGCTCCACTTCGTGCCTCCTGATTGTCCACAAACAACTCCAAGGGCTTTGTCTGGTTCCTGAGCTCAAGGTCTTAGGGCACAAAAGGGCTGATCCTTCGGCAAGGTGTGACTCCTTGGGTCATTCAACCGGAAAACCCAGCAGCCATCATCAGCCTCTGTCTGCAAGTACGTAATGGACCATAGACAGAAGTCCCGGCACAGTGGCTTTCGCTCCATATGCGAAAAAGTAAAAATGCGTCTGTGCGAGTCTGCGCGGTGGGCTTTCGCTCCAAGTCCTCGCCAAGACCTCTGGGCTGCCGGCTTCACACCAATCATAAATCGGTTGCCTCTGGCCTTAGCTGTCGATCGGCAAACCTCAAAAGAACTGCCGCATCCTTTCCTTCCGGGGCTGGACTCGGCTCTGAACACCCCTCCATACCCCTCCTCTTCGAACGCTACTAGGGGCTCCTGGCCTTACTGCTAGGAGCAAAGACGCTACTACTACCTCCTGGCCGTACTAGTAGGAACACGAAGCTACTAGGAGCAAGGATCACTAGTAAAAAGTCCGAAGTTCAACACTTTGGACGAAATAACCAGTCCAGGTTTCTCAGTGTCTCGCTGTGAGTCGTTCAATCTCTGCAAAGGGCTGCGTACCCCGCGGATCCTGTGCGTGTCAGGCACTGCTAGGCACCTAAAGTTCTGGTCTTTGAGACATACACTCCAATGATCATGGATACGCGAATACCAAAGCAGGTGGTGAACTCCACTTCCGTGAATGATTATTTCAGGGAGTGTACTGAGTGTACCAAAGAAACCCTCCGAGTCATCACCCGCCTTCCCGCTCTCAAAGTCTTCCTTGCTTTCGTGGCGTTCCAGGCCTTGCCGCGCACGACATCGGCGGCTTAAAGGACACACGACACGCGGCGAACTCCCGCCCAAGACCAGCGCTGTCCACTTGAAGCGCAAAGAAAGGCGAAATCACCTGTCATCATTCAATTCCTCTGTTGCGCCCACATGGTGTTCCATGTGGTTGGTTCTTCCACACGTTCCAGGAAGAGAAGAGTTTGCCAAACCGTTCCATGGTCCAATTCAGGAGCTAATATATATCTTGAGATGGGCTACAAAGCCATTAGATTATCCAGCATAGCCTTGCCCTTCCGCTCGACATTGAGGTATCCAGAGTGGACGGCCTGCATCTGCATACGCTGGTGTCTGATACAAGGAATGATATATAATTGTAGGATATTGTAGGTGACTCCACACATTCGGTACAACTATATAAATGATTTGAGACTATAGATTCAAACCAATTGTATGATTCTCTTCTCTTTGGCAACAAGGCAATTGGCTGCAGGTGATTCCACCGCCCCTGTGAGTTGTTAGTTAAAGCTGCCTGTCTTCCGAGGCAAGTCAGTGAATCTTGAACGTGAGTGCAGGGGGGAAGTTGCCACTTTTTGCACATGTGCTAAGAGTTGAGTGAATAATGCTTAATATCGACAATGGCTCCACTTGCGGTAGAAAACTCCTGGAAGGCTGTGCCTTTAATAACTTCCCACTCATCACCAACGACAGCTCGGCTCTCATCTACTGATTCAAAAGGATTTGTTCCCAAAAAAATCCCGTGTCACAGAGTCACGCAAACATGCTTTATATATCCCAAGCAACCTCCGACATGGTTCAACATTCTTTTCCAAGAAGTCGGTTTCTCGCTCGCTGCCTTCGACCACCTTTTGCTTCAATCATGCGAAAGCCATGAAAAGCCCAGCTGGTGTTCACCCGGAAAAAGAATCGACGAACAGCGCACCCACGGGTGGTCTCTTCAGACCCAGTGCCCCTGTTGCCACGAACAGTCGAGGTCGACCGTGGTCAACGACGTCCGTGGTTGTTTGGGGGGGGCCGACCGTGGTGATCTGATGTCTATCTACGATCGATAGCAGGGCTCGATGTTCGTGAAACACCACCGCACATCACCGGATGACTATCATCATGTCATCTGTGCAATTTCTCCATTGATCACGTCATTTCTCCTGTCTTGCCAGAAGTCCTTAACCGTAATCATTATATGATCACTCACTACTCACATCTATTCACTATCCGACACCGTCCTCGCGAAAGATATGAGCCTTGCAAATGTAGCAAATTCGAAATCCTCCAGAGTTCCGCAGTCGATCTTGGCCCAAGAAGTCACAGGGACGGCTGACAGCATTTTCTACATCTGGCAAACAACAGTTGCAAGTCAGAACCACGAGTCACAACCAAGTCGGGCTGCGGATGTTCACTCCAAAACTATTGAGCGAATGCTCACTGCTCGCTGCGGACTCCGATTGAAACAGGTCATGCAATGGCTCAAGCTTGGCCCTTGACCCAGAGCAAACAAGAGCATCCACCGGCTATGTTGCTACAACATGCCCATTCTAATCTGCAAATCCACCGGCAAACAAAACAAAAGAGTTCACCATTGCTGCTGGGCGGGCCAACACAGAGCACTTATTGGGGCTACAATTGCATCAAGAGTCTCTTTGAACACCAGCGTCGGGGCAAAAGCACTACCATACATTCAATAGCTTGGCTGCTTCGTCCAAAGCTCTTCCTTGAAAATCGTTCTTTGTCAAGTACATGGCTTCTCTTCGTCCTTCGGAGTTTTTTCAGAAAAGTGGCCATGTCCTATTGACTCATGACAAAAGCGCATGGAGGCGCATGCGTAGACAGCATTCAATATAGAATATGTTGCCCATCTTGAAGTCAAAGAAGAGCTTGCACAATTGAATGGCAGCTCTGATAAGCACGGGGTGCAATCAGTCACCTTCAAAAAATCACCTGCCAGGCAGGCTGGTCTTTGAGAGATATCAGTCGATGCGATCCTGCAGAAGCACAGAAGAAAGGAGAAAGGAACGTCGAAAAGACTGGCGGCAGCAAACTGCTGACTTGCAGTGGTGTCTCAAATCTATCAACATCTATCCTTTTTGAGACATCATCCCCTCCATCTTCTGTCTCAAAAGCTTCTGTTTTGCCTTACTTCTTTCTACTCCCTCTGATCCCACCGGCCGACCAGGCCGACCGGTGTCCTCTTCATCTCGCCACATCATGTCAAGGCGCCCGGCAGCAGTGTGCACAGCCCGTAGCCCGACACCTTCTGCCTGTGGCTCCTGTGTGGAACCCGAGTGCAGATGGTCCAAAGACGCCCCAAAAAGGGTGAGACCGAAGGAGGGGCGTCAGAAAACTTGTACAAAGGTGTCTACAGTGTACAGTTCACATGTATTCACTGATAAAACCCCAAGCCTTTCCTATTGAAATTGCATTTAAAAAAAGATTGAAAAACTGGTATTGGTTCATTCAGACAAGTCCAATCTATTGGTTCATTCCGACAGGTCGTCCTCGCACTCGATAAACCTTGGCAGGCACGTGCGGCACAGCCCACAGCCCACAGACGTCGTTTCGGTATGTGAAGATATGTGAAGATCCTCTCAGCGCGGTAGACGCGGGCCTTTCTGCCAAGGCGCGTGTTTTTCACTGTAAATAGACTTCCCAGTCCATCTGGGCGCGTGTCGACGACCCGGCGGACAAAAAACAGACTCGTTTCACCGATGCCATGAGAACCGCGAACAGGATGTCCAAAAAGCGTCTGAGAACGAAAGGGTAGCAGCTGAAAATGGCTCTGCGTGTTTACACTAGGTCCTGTCCGAGCTTCAAGGGAAAGGTTTGGAACCCCCAGGCAATTTGATGATTGGACGGATCTACATCTAGCTGGGGAAGGAAATGGGCAAAAAGGTTAGATTTGCACATGAGCTCGGTCTTGTATTCAATCCAATCCATACTGCATACTGCCATTCCGGCTCATGCCCCTGGCTGCCCCGGAAGAAAATTTGCACGTGCAAACCTGCAAGCCAGTTTTGAAGGTGCCCTAGTATATAAATCTTCGTTCGGAAGAGAACACAAACAATTAATGAGTATATAATATTGGTTATGTCCTGGTCAAAGGAAGAAGCACAAAGGCAGACTGCTGTTGCTTTGGACACTTAGTCACGAACTGGACAATGCTTATTGGGAGAGACCCCCTTCATTCCAGCAATAGAATCAACAAAATCATACCCTCTACAATCCAAAAGAGCGTGAAACAAAGTCTACACGTGCAGGCCATGTTCTCCAAAAACTCTCCACTTCTTCGCCACGCCGTTTTGGGCCGTTTTCAGCCGATCCCCCCCTCCATCCGCCTGCCAGATCATGCCGGCGCAGCGGATCGCTGTTGGGCGACCTCGAGCGGATCGAGCTGCTTCGGCCGAAGACGACGGTTCCGGTGGGGAGTTCACAGCGAGGCCGATGAGGCGCTGTTCCAAGTTGAGAAGTTGGACTTCGGATGGGCGAAGTCATCCCAGTTTTCCGTTTCGCAAGTTCGACCTGACTTTCTGTGGCATGGGGGATGGCTTTTTTGGACGAACGCCACAGGGTGGACGATTTGCATCTCTTTGCATGTGGTCGCTGCGCATTGAAAAGGCACTGAAAGGATTTGGTAGGATTCGGTAGGATGTTGGAAATGTTGGAAATGACATATTCAAGGATTTGAAATTTGTGTTGAAGTCTTGTGTAGGATTTCAGATGTGTCGAGGGTCGCGCGCTTTATTCGCCTGCACTGGGCGAATATCTTACTGGATGAGACTCTCGGGTGGGACAACTGAAAGGTGGCTACAGCCCAATGTCGCGAACCAATAGCAGACGCATGAACAAACCAAAAGCCACACATAAATAGTACGTTCTCGCTTAAGCTCTGCCATGTGGACAGCATCACACGGCGAAGTTGCAGGAATTATGCTTGAAGCAACTGATGCGTTTGACTGATTTCAGAAACGCTACTAAACAACTCAATACGTGCGATCCTAAAGAAAAACGTACAGTGTGAGCTTGCCCAACCCAAATCCTCGCGCTCTCTGGAGTCATAGAGGGCAACCTGTTGAAACCTCACGGGTGGCAAACGTCCCTTTGACTGACTGGTCTAAGCTCCAAACAATCCGCCGACTTGTTGAAGATCAGACCTCAGCGGAGCAGAGCAGCTCGCGTCGCCTTCTCCCGCTGAACGGTTCAGCGGGTCCACGTGGTGGTGAAAACCCCTTGCACACATGGGCAGGGCCCCTTTGGATGTGTTGAGACCCGAAAAGTGGCACACAAAAGAAGGAAGCACTGGGATAATTGAAAACTACAAGCTCTGGGATAATCCCAACATGTTCATAATCCCGCACTACAAGCCAGCTTTGATCAGTGTTGATGATCCCAAAATTGGCAGCTCTGGGATGCCTGGGGCTCAGGAAGACTCAGGCTCCGGGCACTCCAGGCGGCGCGCTGCTAGGAGAGATCACAGATGGAACCTGGGATGCCCCTATTGCAATCAAGGATTTGAACCTTTCCAGTATTGATGTGATGTCCACTTTGGGGTGTGTCACGGTGATGTCCCATGTTCTCTCATGTCTGCCATGGAATTCGCCCCCTGACCCGATGCACTGGGCCGAGGAGCCGTTGCCATCGACGTCAGCCCACCCAAACCGGTCTCCTCAAGAAGCGGAAAACAGCAAGCTGAATCCATGAAATTCATCTGTATGAATAGGGAGACCCCATTCTAGACTCCCTTTCCAGAAGGAACTTAGACCACAATTCATTGGTAGGGGCCTTCCCTAATGCAAACCCATGTGGCCCCTGCTCTTGCAAAAAATTGAAACTCTCGGACACTGTTGGCCAACATACAAGTTCAGGCTCTTCATGTGTTTGGGGTTGGTTGGCTCAATACACAAGCATTAGCTTTGCTCAAAGCTCAAATCGCAGCCAGTCCACAGTCATCCCCAAAATCCGTCTTTCACTTGCCCTCCTTTCAATCGTGGATGTGGGGAGTCCACTAGGTAGAAAAGCTTGGGACGACCGCCCCCAAATCTAGCATATGAACAGGAGTCACACACATCCCTCCACAAAGTAGGTAGCAATAGGTACGAGGAAAATATCAACTATTTGCTGTCATTCACTGAGTTCCTTCTACATGAGTCCGCTGAATGGCTTTCAGTTTCGTTTACCAACAGCATTCAGATCATATCATGCCAATGTCATCCTATCTCAATGTCTCAGTCACACCTGGCACCTACGAGGTCACAAACGATGAGCAAGACCCTGTCTCTCACCAAAATATCTTGATTTCACAATCCTTTCATGGATG